AATCAAGAATCGAAGAATTCGTTATGTGCATTTGTCAGAATAGAGGGTCGTATAGATCCAAATGAGAAGTTTCAGATTCACTACGGGTAAGAAACAACTGCTCTTATAATTTCTACCCTGAAAATGACATTTTCCTAAAGCACGATGTTATCAAAGTCATCAGTAACTTAAAGGTTGCAAGGTGTACCAAAAAGCTACAAAATTGTATACGTACCTTAGAGAAAGAAGCATAGGTCGTTAATTTCTACCCTGAAAATGACATTTTCCTAAAGCACGATGTTATCAAAGTCATCAGTAACTTAAAGGTTGCAAGGTGTACCAAAAAGCTACAAAATTGTATACGTACCTTAGAGAAAGAAGCATAGGTCGCCTTCTGCATGTTGCTACAATATAAAGATCTCTTATGATTTCGGGAAATGTTTTCTTAGTCTACTTAGTCCAACCATTTTCATGCCACTCGTTGTTTGCTTTCATCACGCAACTTTGCGAAGTTGATTTACTGCCTACTAGAAATAATCACTAGCCGGAAAGGACTGAACCGTAAAGTTTGCAATGTAATTAACAAAATGGCATTAGCGTTTTAGGCTAAGATGAAATTTACTGAACTGTATTAATAAGGCTTCATAATTTTAAGCCAAATACATTGGCAGAAAGAGACATCTGTCTCAAAACCAATAATTATGACAGGACAGTGAGCGTGTCTCTTCTCGCGTTTAGGAAATTGTAACTCAATTTAAGGGCACCGTTGGAAATTATACTTTTTACGGTCTTCCTATACTGTAAGTTTTTGTTGTTTTTTTCTTTTTTCATTTATTTATTGCTAAAAAGTATTGGAGAGGGTTAGGTCTCACGGGCGAACAAATTGAGGCATTAAAAAAAAGTTTTCCCATGAAAGTGACTTTTAACAAAATAACTTATAACTTGACAAAGAATCGCACCGATTGCTTCAAATTTTCTTTTTCCGCTAACATACGTTTCGCTTTCCTTCCTGTTTTACCAAACATTTCTATTTGTTCAGTGCGTAGCGCAGAAAGATACTGGAGGGGCGCCTGGTGTTTCATTTTTTGTGTGTTAGCAAACATCGGAACATTGAATAGCTCCAAAGTTTGTTACATTGTAAAAGGTGAAACTGAACTGATCAGCAATGACTATATGCCGGCTATCATGACTTTTCATGACTTATGATCCACCTGCAATTTCTTTCAGTTAAATCATTGTTTAACGGTTATTTATTTATGTATAGTTTGAAGGTTTTTCGAGGACTACATGTACTCTTTGTTTTACCGTTTGACGCACTAGCGGCACGCGAAAGGAGTTGAGGATTCAACCCCCTTCCACTCCATTGCCCTCTGTTCTCTGTGGACTCATCAACGCGTACCATTGATTCTCTTCTACTCCAGAAATTAAGGGAACAGCGACCATTATCGCTCTCGTTTAGAGTCTCGAGCAAAACCTGCCTCTTTTTGTTGGTTTAGAAGCTGTGGAGAGAACCAAAAGAGACAACTGGATAATATGTCTCCGTTCCTAGGTTCTGGTTTGACGTCTTTCTTAACCCAGGGTCCATATTCGCCTGATAACTTTGTACGAGACCGCTTCCTCTCAAAGAACATTTTTCGAAGAGGTAGAAGTCCTGCTTTTCATGCCCATTGTGAAAAAGTAGCATGTGTATCAGGGGCACGAGAAACATATATAGAGGCCCAGATAACAAGGGCGCAGTTTCCGCGTCGCGCGGTTCGTCTCGCGCACAATATTTTTATGCACCTGCCACGCGGGCTAAAGGTCACGTGACGTATGCTGCTTTTAACGGCCAGTGTAGCCTAAAGCCCCGTGCAAAAGGACACAACATTGTTGGATGTTACTTTTTGCGTCCGTTTGCACACCCTTTTGCATGTTGTTGCGTGTTGTTGGGAGTTGTTGCGCAAAGTTTGAAACTGGTCAAACTATGAGCAACAAAGTTGGGAGTTGTTGGCCAACAATGTTGCGTCCGTTTACACGGGGCTTAAGTAGCATGCTTTTTTAAGGGGTTAGGGGAGAGGAGATCTTAGAGGACGAAGGGAGGAGGGGAGGATTGAAGAAAGAGAGAGTTTCAGTGAAGAGACAGTTTCTCTCCTTTCGCAAAGTAAGTAAAGCAAGTAAAAGCACTTAGTTATCCTCTCTTGTTTTAACCTGCGAACAGCCGACGTATTTCCGGTCGATAACAACGCTGATGTGCTCGTGTGAAAAAAGAAGTAATAAAAACTATTTACAGCAATTAAGAATTAATAAAGCTTTTCCGCCAGAAACCGCCTGGGCTCAGGCTAAGGACAGAGTCGCCCTGTATCTATGGATGACTAAACGCAGGTTGGTGGTATATTAATGCCGGAGTTTTAATACTGATTCAGAAAACTTTTACGAGAATGTTTCAATCGTAGGCCCGGGAGGCCGGCTTCTAGGATTCATGTCTTAAATTATTTTGATACAAAAGCTGTCGTACACCTTTTCTTTTTTTCTCCTCCACGGAATTGTTGGTTTGAACTAATAAAGGATTAAAAAAGCTGCAAAAACCGTGGACGAAGATCCTGCTAGTTGTAAACGTTGGATCTCTAGAAAAGATATCAAATCAGCCAAAATCTAAAGAACCAAGAACAAGAAGTCCAAAGACTATACTGCAAAGCTGATTTAAAACAACGTATATTGTTTTTTATAACAATATTTCGGCTGGCCATACCAGCCTTCTTTAGGTTTACAGATGTTACTGAACTTATGTGATTGCTACATAGAGCGGTTTTCACTTGACTGTCGAAAGGAATTGGTTTTGGTTTTGGTTTTACTACGCCCTTTGGTTGGCTAGTGTATTTACTTTGGTTTTGGTTTTACGACAGTTAAGTGAAAACCGCTCTAAGTTCAGTAACATCTGTAAACCTGAAGAAGGCTGGTATGGCCAGCCGAAATATCGTTATAAAAAACAATATACGTTGTTTTTTTTGCCATTGTGGTTAACAAGAGCAAATCTTCTCCCTCCGCTGGGTACTAAACTCTAATCAACTTCATGCAAATTCTGCCCCAAAAAAAATTGTATTGTTTTGTCAACCCTCCCCAGTGTCACGTGGTTGCTTACCGGGTTGCTTACCAACAACTGCCATTGTCTGGTTCAGTTTCTACTCTTCACTTGATTCTTTGCCAATATAATAAAAAAGAACAATATTGATGAATATTAGCCTTTTAGCCTACCTGCCAACTCAGACGATTACTACTTGATGTTTCCTTCCGGAGAAAGTTAAGTAGTTTCGCGGTTCGATGGATCGGAGGGAATAGACAACCGGAAATACCTGTACATTCCCGGGCTAGCCTGCTCTCAGATTGGCTCTCTGATCTCTACCCAATAGCCCGGGGAGGAGGGTACTTGGGTTTATTTTTGCCGGCGGCATCTCAGAGCCCCTACCCCATTATAGTCTATTCTGTGGCCCATTATAGACCCCATCTTAGTCACTTTTGGGCAAATATGTAATTTTCGCGATCCCATCTTAGTCACTGTCTATTTATGTATCTACCTTATATTGAATGAGGAACACTTTACTTTTCACCTACAGTACAAACATTCTTGTACGTTTGCTAACCGCAGATATGAAGGACTGTCTTACCCCAAAAATCAAAAAAATGTGCGACCCCATTCTAGTTCATCTATTGAAAATGCGACCCCATTATAGACAAGCCAGTTGTGAAAATGCGACCCCATCCAGCGCCACATCACCAGTTTCCTCCTCCCCGAAGCATTAGCTCTAAAAGCTACTGAACCTGTACCAAGTTGTAGCTAAATTCCCATACGCAAATAATTCAATAGGATGAACGTACACAATCACGGGGCATTTGTACGAGGGAAAATAAGACGCGCAGTCTTACATATAAATTAGACGCAAATTGTCCCCAATAAACAACACATTTCGTCTGTAACACGCGACTTAGCTAAGACCTGTTCGTAAGACGGGTCTTAGCTAAGTCGTGTCTTATTTCAGACGAAATGTGCCATTTGTAGGGGACAATTTGCGTCTTTATTACATCCCGAATATTCGTGACTAGTTTAGTTTTGTTGATATAGTCTCAAAGGCGTTCATTCTGGACTGAACGAAATAGTTCATCGTCATTATTTATGCTCGGCTGTAAATGTTGAATCTTTAACCCTTTTTAGTTTTTGTTAGCCAAAAGTGATCGCGACTTCAATGACTGGCGAGAGGATAATGGGACAATTATCCTTTTTCAAGTGTCATCCTCTCGGTTTTGCTGAACTTTCTCTCGTCTGTTGGCCACAATTAAATCCCTTACGTAATTATAATATTTGTCCTTTAATTTGACACAAACACTTGAATACTAGTCGTTACTCTGGAGAAATGTGCCGTAGAAAAAACTGAAGTTTTCTCCCGAGACGGGCAAATTCTGGGTCTTCTTCATCCGTGAAGTTCCGCAACCCGTCAGGCTGCTCTACAGACTATTGTCTGCGGACAAAATGGAAAAGGGTCTTGAGTTTCTCTTGCTTATGCCCTAGTTTCGGTGTGATTATTGAAAAGACCAGAGACCAGTCTCGTAATTTCGACAATTTTCCATTGTCATGGATCCTGATCAAGAAGAAACTGCAGTCGTTGAGAAACTTCTGTTAACCGCTTCTAGAAAGTTTCATAACTTAAGACAAAGTGGGTACTCTCACATCCTACGCTTTTGTAAAATGTATTTTGTTTGAAATTAAACCTAACGAAGATGATTAAATCCTCGTCAATTTTGTGTAAACCATTAGCTCCCGGCGCCTCACGCCTCACTGAGTTAGTCCATCGTCTATTTTAATTGAATTAAAATAAAGGACAGGAACACCAACTCGTGCGGGTGAGGATTAAATAAGTCTGCTCACACTCTAACAACAATCCCAAGAACGGCACAAAAGTATAAACAGTTGTATTATTTTGGTCAGGTGATAGCGAACGTGATTGCTTCTGTTCAAAGGTCTAATTTTCACGTGTCCGCGGTTTGGAATCTCAGAATCAATTATGAGATTATTATTACGCAATTTTCACTTTTGCTGAAGTTGAGTCGTTTCGCCCAAAGTAGAGCAAAAAATCATCTGGCCGAATTTGCCAGGTCTCTCATGGCGGTTATCAAGTCTTGGTAACCGATTATAAGCCATTTGTGTCGTCTTTTTTAAGGAAATGCTACTCAAACTAAGAGAGGTAAAAAAAAAAATGAAGATAATGAGCATTCTGGCTACCGCATGCTGTGCATGTGAATCGAAAGTTTTTAGATCTAAATAATTATTGTCATTTTTCTTTGTTCAGACGTGGAGTTAGGCCAAAAAAAAAGAAACTAGTTCAGCTACTCAAAGGTATGACCTAGTCAGTACAATAATAATGCTGGTTTTTGTTGTAGGTCTTGTGGACATGCGACCTTTGGGAGGCAGGAAAGTCAGAGTCAAGATGAAGAGCAGAAACAGATGGAAACTCGCGTATCACTTGTTCCTCGTTTGGCGCGAATGTCACTCACGAAAGTGTAACGTTACGACCTTCGGCACGTCTTCGAACACGCCCCCGTATATTACCAGGCACCGCCCATAAGAGTTCTAATATTGAACAACAAAGCAAGCCTTTTCCTGTTTCTTCAAATACGCTTTGCTTCTCTGATTGAACAACTCTCTTACTACTAGATGGCTGTTTGAGGTGTCGAAATGAGGCGAAACGAGAGGAGCAGGATGCAAAATAATAAAATGGAAACATTTCTTAACGGCCGCACTTTGTCAAGTTCGAAGTATGCGAGTATTGAGGTAGGAAGGTGAAATTGTACTTTGTACTCTTTGAAGCTTTTCTTTATTTAGTACGGAAGGTTGGAGAGCAAGTATTTAAGTGCCTGTTTGTTTGAATTTACTGCAGATTTCACCCGCCTTAGAGAGCTTACTAAAACATGGGACTATTTAAACTTGAAATTACGAGCGTGCTTTCTCCAGTGTTCACAGGATATCGAACTTTGCTTCTTAATAGGTTAAGCGCATCCCGAAATGCTAGTACACCAACCACACGGAACACACTCAGGACTCGAGATCGCAGTTTAGCGACTTTTTTAATAGTGGGTTTTTTCGCTTGAGAAAGTCATACCACAAGACAAACCGTTTAACAAGGAGACTACCCTGTAAATATATTCACTATCGGAAATCAGCAAATTTATTAAATTATACAAGAAGAACTGCTTATGTAATCTGTCTACCAACAAGCGTAACAAGCGGAGAAAAGCGAGGTTGTTATTTTTCAGTACTGCTCCAGCAAGCATAAGTTTTGCGTCTTCATCAGGTGCTGCTATTTACCCGAGTGTTCCTCATGTACTACCCTTCAGATATTTGTGCGATCATGTCCTCAATCACCCAGTAAAGCTCCATCCAGCTTCGACATATACTTCCGTTTAGGCGAACCAAACTTCACTGACTAAGGTGAACTTATCAAGGCATCACCGACAGTGAAAGGAACTATAGCTTTTTTTAGTCAAAGGATCAGACTTCCATGAGATAGCAGAGGTCTCGTTTAAAGGTCTGTTCGCGGTTTAAAACAAGCTTGGATGCCGTGCCTTATAAGAGCCCCATAACAGAAGGAAAATTTGTGCCACGGAACCTGGCTGTCCGCGACCAAGAAATGTAGACTACGTCTCGATATTTGACTCTCTTCAGCTCCAAATTCATATCTTTGACGTATGACAATCCAAAGCTTCATTTTCTGAAAATTTTTCTCATTTGCCTAAAAGCCCTTCTCAGTGATTTTCCAACAAAACCCGACCTGCTATTTGGCGTGTTTGGACATGCCAAAATATTTCAGAATCCGGTACAAAAGGGACGAAGAATTGACGCAATTAATGATTCTTTTGTTTTTGATATCTCGCACGTTAAATCGCAGCACAACAAAAACATAAATGTCACTCAGTTTACTTGTTCAGTTAGGCCTTTAAAAATGACTTTTTTTCAAAACTTTCACTTCCGACGACCTGATCAAGCTAAGTCAGCGGGAAAGACCAAGTCTATCTTCTCGCAAAAGTTAAGTCTAGTTCACTACGCCAATTTATATTCCGTGCAAAACAACTTATACCCGAATGTAATCTTTTCTGTACGTGACTAATTGTTAGCCTTCAAATGCAACAAAAGAGCTTTACAAATGTTTTGCGGATTTGGACGTGACCCTCTCAGCTACTGATTCCCCAACTTTTCCAAAGTTCCTGCCGCAATGCACGTTGCCCCTTTTCCGTTCCATTTGGCATCGATAATCCACCACTGTGTAAAACTTCAGGAGGACTGAAGAGAGAATTTTAAAAAAGAAGTTCAGTTCGATAAGAATGTGATAGAAAAATCTAAAGAAACAATGGTCCCGCGTCGAAATAGTTTTATCAATTGATTTGATCAATTAAATTTTGCCACCGCCAGCCTTTTGTCGGAGCGAGCAGTCAAGGAAGATAGACGGAAACTCTGCTTCCAGGGTCTACGTAAAGATTGGTCCAAATCATCTGTTACAAAGAACTTAATTAAGGAATTTTAATAGGTAAAAGAATTGCAGAGAAAGGTGGAACAGAAAGGCTTTGATTAGAGAAGAGCCCAAAATATTAGTCTTTACAAATCGGACAATTTGGGAGGGGATTTATTTCCGCTGACAAAATGTGCGCTCCGAAGATTAATGTCGAAAACGTCGCTCAGTGAACCAACGAGTGCAGTGTTGTTTGTTCTTTAATATTTGTTAAACATTACACTTCCGTTTTCTTTATTAATTCGTTTTGAAGTTTCGATAGGGTGGTTCCCGAATAGTTTGCCAATCGAACTCATCGTAAAAAAGGGACGATGATCTAAGGCAAGGTTTGGCCGAAATTTGGGTTTGGTCAAAACAGAAATGAAGCGATTGATATTAAAACGGAAAAAGGTATGACATGGGCGAGGGAACAAAGAAAAGCCTTCAAATTTGTCATAATAGCGCCTGTTCGGACTTTGATCTTCAAACGAGAATAGTTAAAATTACCAAAATATTTGTATGGCGCGGAAAATTATTCTTTGCGTGATCTGAAACGCTGAATGATTCAGTTTACTTCGACGCGGGCAGTCAAGCTATTCAGGCAAATTATTCGTCGTCACGTGTCATCTTCTATTTTGGCCTTGGCCGAATGTAAACAAACGTTGTCCGCTTGGCGGGACAAAGTTCGTTTTCAGCCTCTGACTACACGTGAGTAAAGTTTAATTCACGCGCCGTTCACATGAAAGTACGACTGTGATTGGCCGAATTTTAAGGAGATGTATTGTGATTGGTCCAACCCCCAAATACGCCCTCTGAACTGCATGATCACAGTTGCTGATCTAAGTTCAATCAACACAAAACGATAACAAAAATCTCTTACGAAGCAAGTTTGAGTCAGAGTTTTGGAGAGAATATTAGAGAGATGTATGTCCTTCCCTTATCTCCACCTACAACGCCTTCGTCGTCGTCTAAAGAAATAGAAGTAAGTGAAATTAGAAAAGAACTTTTGAATGAAGAAAAGGTTTCAATAACTAACATTTTTAACCTCTTTGTGTTTACATCAGGAGGAGCAAATGTCTGACTCAGAAAGTTGTCAAGCCGAACCGAGTGGGAACGTCGATTTGGATGCTGTGCAGTCGCTTCTGGCAATGAGTCAGTGGTCGCCTCCTTCTCATGAAAGAAGTCCTAGCCCCGATTCAGGTGTTTCGTCTATCAGCAGAAATTCGTCGAGCGCGTCTTTGAGCAGTACAGTCAGTATCACTTCCGCTGAGGACGACTTGGAAAAGGTGAGATTTTCGCTGTGAAGAACATCAAAAAAATCTTGTATATTTGCGGGTTAGTTGTTAGATCTTACGCTTGTAATTTAATGTCATATTACAGTTTCCTAATCGCCTCGTTTCGCCTATTTTACAGCCTGAAAGCAACGGTATTCGACCTATAGCACCCGCAGACCTAGAAAGCCCGCGTATGGATAACACTGGACTTAGTGCGTCAATCGCGGGATCTTTGGGAGCGATTTCTACCACAAATACTCCAACGGCTACAGTAGCAAGCCTGCCTTTAAAAGTTTTCCCGGGAGGAGTAAATGTGAACCAGGTTCTTTTGGCAAACGGTGGGGGAAATCTACCAGCCGGTGCTGTGGTTGTACTTTGCCCCGTAGCTACAAATGGAAGTACACCGACAACAGTTGGAAGCATTTCCCAGCTACAAAGAAATTTTGTGGTCACCCAAGCAGGGCTTATTACACAGTTACAGTCCCAAAATCAAGAGGAAAACAACAGTAATGGAAACAGCCAAACAAATCGAAGAAGAAATCATGTTTGTAACTTTGAAAACTGCGGCAAAACGTACTTCAAGAGTTCCCATTTGAAAGCTCATATGCGGACGCATACAGGTTTGTTCAGTTACATCATAATGTAGACACANAATAGAAGTAAGTGAAATTAGAAAAGAACTTTTGAATGAAGAAAAGGTTTCAATAACTAACATTTTTACCCTCTTTGTGTTTACATCAGGAGGAGCAAATGTCTGACTCAGAAAGTTGTCAAGCCGAACCGAGTGGGAACGTCGATTTGGATGCTGTGCAGTCGCTTCTGGCAATGAGTCAGTGGTCGCCTCCTTCTCATGAAAGAAGTCCTAGCCCCGATTCAGGTGTTTCGTCTATCAGCAGAAATTCGTCGAGCGCGTCTTTGAGCAGTACAGTCAGTATCACTTCCGCTGAGGACGACTTGGAAAAGGTGAGATTTTCGCTGTGAAGAACATCAAAAAAATCTTGTATATTTGCGGGTTAGTTGTTATATCTTACGCTTGTAATTTAATGTCATATTAAAGTTTCCTAATCGCCTCGTTTCGCCTATTTTACAGCCTGAAAGCAACGGTATTCGACCTATAGCACCCGCAGACCTAGAAAGCCCGCGTATGGATAACACTGGACTTAGTGCGTCAATCGCGGGATCTTTGGGAGCGATTTCTACCACAAATACTCCAACGGCTACAGTAGCAAGCCTGCCTTTAAAAGTTTTCCCGGGAGGAGTAAATGTGAACCAGGTTCTTTTGGCAAACGGTGGGGGAAATCTACCAGCCGGTGCTGTGGTTGTACTTTGCCCCGTAGCTACAAATGGAAGTACACCGACAACAGTTGGAAGCATTTCCCAGCTACAAAGAAATTTTGTGGTCACCCAAGCAGGGCTTATTACACAGTTACAGTCCCAAAATCAAGAGGAAAACAACAGTAATGGAAACAGCCAAACAAATCGAAGAAGAAATCATGTTTGTAACTTTGAAAACTGCGGCAAAACGTACTTCAAGAGTTCCCATTTGAAAGCTCATATGCGGACGCATACAGGTTTGTTCAGTTACATCATAATGTAGACACACAGTTCAACTTCCCTGCAAGCTAGAACTTTTTTTAGGGATGACTATTTTTCGTGATATACAGTTTCAGTTCTTGAATTTTTAAAGTTGTTTGCGTTGTGTGATCGCGGGAATTTTCTTTTTTTTTCACGTGGATGACATGGCCTGGACCACTCCTTTGTCGTGCCTGCCTTACACCCACCGATCACGTGTAAACACGGAAATTAGCCGTGATGCAATGTTTTAGGAACATTCGCGGGAAAATCCCGCGATAGCCAAATCCTCCGCTTTCCGAACTGGGTAAATTTTCAGATAAAAGTTAGCGAGGGTAAGAAAATAATGGTCGGTTACAATTTTTCTTTGTGAAAAGCCTCAGTTACGTAATATGGCAGTAATCGGGGCGTTTAGAGACTTGGTATCGAATTTCGCGTTTTACGTTTTTCCCATTTTTGTAAAACACCTGTCCCCTCCTGCTTAGAGTTTTGACCTCAAGTGGAGAGCTTTTTCTCCTCACTCTACAAACCACTTGAAGTTACATGTTTTGGGGAGGTATTTATTGGTAAATTGAATCGTAGTTTTTATGTCTCCTTTTTCTTATATTGAAGTTTAAATGTTTATGAGAGTCCAGAAATTAATTTTCTTCTCTTTTTGTGCTTGTCAGGAGAGAAACCTTTTCCATGCACATGGGAAAATTGTGACAGACGTTTTGCAAGGTCTGATGAGTTAGCGAGGCACAGACGAACGCATACAGGAGAGAAACGATTTGCTTGTCCTCTCTGTGGGCGGCGTTTTATGAGATCTGATCACTTGACAAAGCATGCAAGAAGACACATGACTGCCAAAAAAGTCCCAGGCTGGCAGCTTGAAATGAACAAACTAAACCAGGTTGCAACAGGTATGCAACCGTCATCGCTAAGCATGCCTAGTATGGTGCTGGCCGCGTCAGGTGCTGCGACAGCCACTACCAATACAATGCCAGTGAATTCATAGTATCTCGACAGAAGAGACTTGAAGAACTGTGTATTCAAAGGCCTCGGGCCCAATGAAAGAGCAGTGGTTGGCCATGAACTTTGTGGAGAGACATCTTCACATGCTAGCAGATAATATAGATTCAGTGATTAATATATTGTGGTGTGACTGTGACTAATAAGCCGTGTTATAGACAGTGACTTGCTAGTCTTGATCATCTAGTCCTTCAGCAATAACTACGTGGCTTTTGCCATTGTCCAGAGTATCCTGCTAGTAGTTAATGTACATCACACTCTTTTTCCCTGAGCTGGGGCAGCTTGGCCTAGCCCTTCAAATCATGACCAAAAATAAATAAAATATCCGTTGGTAGACAAAGGTTGTTTAAAGTTAAAGTCAAGGTTCATTTAATTTATTTGCTGTAAATAGTACAAATTCCTTTCCAGATGAGTAGTTTTGCTCAACTTGATCGCCACAAAATTTTCCCTTTTGGTTATATTGCTGGTTTTAATCCAAATAATGTTAAAGAATTCATTGCCAGCTAGATGCATGAAGGGCCTCAGTTGAAGGTGTATTTTGTTTTTAAAGATTGTGAAACCTTGCTTCAGTTTTCTCGATCACCCAACCTTCAAATATTTTAAAATAGTTTTTCTTGTTTTGTTTCGTCTTCAAACAAAGTGTGGGCCATTCACAACAACCACTGATGTCCTTCATGCATCAAGCAACTCAATTCAAAGTAAAAGAAAAAAATACAACAGCCGAAACTATAAGTGAGTGTAAATTTGGAACATACTGTAGATATATTAAGTTTAAAGAGAGATGCAGCAGAGATTCATAGAGCAAGTTTGATGTTTAAAATTTTGTTTTGTAAGATTTAGAAGTAGAGGTTAGTATGCCAGAACACATATTGATATTGAAGACTTGCTGAAATCTTTTATGAAAGCCGTTAAATCCGCCGTTTTCTGATATTCAGTTATTGAAGTATTTAACCATTTCATACGTGTAAATTATTTGCAAACCACATCTGCCAAATTATTCATCAAGTGAACCGTTTCATTGCCAGATTTCAAATGTTAATTTATATCTTTTTATTTACAATTTATCATCATGTTATATAGGCAGTGTTCTGTACAAATAAAATGCTTTATTGAACAAATCTGCGTCGTCAGTTGATCTTCACCCGTTTATTACAACACTCGAAATAGTTTAGAAAGCAAAGTTAAAAAAACGCTGAAGTCTTGAACGGAGCATGGGCATTTCTTGGTCCAGAGTCATTTAATTGTTCATTCCCAACTGGGTGATTCTTGTTTCTCTTATTTTAGTTTCCGCTGTGGCGAGGACAATGGACTTTACTTTTACACATTTTCATATATTTCCTTTTGTGTCTCCATCTTCAGAAAGGAAGAGCCCTCAATTGCTTTGATAGGTTACCAATATGAGCACCGCGCCGGTATCGCAATTATCGTGGATTTCATCTTAGCTTGACATATTACCAGGCCTTATTAATGAATTCAATGATATATCACGTGTTAAGTTTCTCGACAAAGGAAAGTTGCCAGTTCATTGCATTACACAGTGTGCTGGGTATATATTACAGCCGTCAGCAAGACTCGTGAGTTAGGAACCTTGCAGCACTAAGAAGTACACTATAAAAACACGACAAGAAAGTAATTTGTATTGCTCAGAGGATTTCATTTCACTGAAGGTCACTCTGAAGAATGTACGTCAGGTCTAACAGAAAATACCGCTGATTTCTCTGAAGGTGCTCCTTGATAGTGTAGTTTATGTTGACAAGTATTCAAACTTCATGTTTTGTGTGAAAAACTGGATGTTGAGCTATAGATGGCCTATGACGCCCAATTTTATGTGGCAATGAGTTCTTTCTCCTTGTTTTCTTCTGATTTCGTGACTGACCATCAGATGGAGTGGGCGAGCGGACTTTATCTTCGGCCGAAAAACGGAACATGAAAAAGCAAAGACGTTTTCGAGCGACCCACGTCATTCGGAAGTGAACCTTTCGCATTCTTGGCAGTGGTTATACTCGAATTTTCGGAAAATCCGCCTCTATAATCTTGATAAGAATTATGACACTTAGCAACACAAGTTTTATGGTACTCTCGAGGCATCTAAATACCGTAAATGATCTAATAGACGCCCGGGGAGTCTATTTAATTTTAAGAGCCCAAGACGGGGCGTTATATAAATAGACAGCCGAAGCGTTTAGAAGAGAGAGGTATTTCTTCTCTTGCTTTCGGCGAATAATACACCACAGTTCTGATATCAGACTATCCAAACTGAGGAAGATGCAATGCGCAAACCCTTGTTAGCAAAAAAAAAAAGAAGAAAAGGAAAAAAAACCGAATTAATTGAATGTTTTTGCTTTACACTATTTTCCTTTTAATTTGGAGAAATTAGGATCTATTGGACACGGGGCGCGGCTTAAAAGTGTAAGGGGGCGTTAGTTCATTAGACGAAAGGTGTTTTCGCGTTTATTTTGGAGGGTGTGCACGATGAACAATATAGGTTTTTCTAATTTCAATGCTTTTTTAAAAATTTCATTTCAATGAAAAATGCGTTTTCAATAACAGTTTTTTGGTGCAGCTTATGGGTGAACGGAGGGGCCATTCTCGTTCCTAGGGCCTGTCGTTTCTTTTGGGTACGTGGTGGGTGGTGGTCTGGAACGAGACAAAAACCTGAATTTCCTTTCTCACTCCTAGTCGAATATTTTGTGTTCTTTTCATAAAGAGAGGATAACGGGCGTATAAAAGGAAAGAGAAACACGTGTTCTGTACGTTTATGGCTCTTTCTTTTTTTCCTTGTCCTCTCTATGATCACAGGAGCAAGATGACGGTCCCCATGGGTTCACCCATAACTTGACCAACGTACTCTCCCTTCTTTGGAAAATGACATAGACGCTATGAGGCAGACCGACCCGCTTTCCTACTTCCTTTAACGTATGTGTAAGTACCCAGCAAACCTTCGGCAGGGCCTTGGCTAGCGTAAGTCTCCCGCAACTGATTTAGAGGAAGAAACAGAAAGATAAATAAACAAAACTAAACACGTGTTTCTTCTTTTGCGCGGCAGCTATACTACTGTAAGACTCTGTATCATTATGAGCAGTTGGGCACAATTCGCGGTGATTGCAAGTCGGTTATTTTTACTGTAGAAAACATACAAACGATTCTAATTATAGACTGGATAATAGGCTCGCTAAATAAGAGATCACACACCATTTTAAGGTTTATGCGCCAGTCATGAAAAGCCGGCGTGTTAAACTGTTAGAAAGGTCAGTACTTTTTAAATTACCTTATAGCATTTACTGTAGCTTGAATTTTATTGGTGTAACAGCATTAACGTTGACTACTTTGAAGTGGGATATTACACCAGGGTAACCTGCGACCAGATATTACTGAGACACAGAGGAAATAGGGAGAGAGCGTGATCTCAGGCCAAATTTAGGGTCGTAGCGTTGCCATTCCCAGAACATCAAAAATAACATCAGTGTTTGTTAGTGATCATTAGTCTGCTGAGCGGCCGCCTCTCAAGAACCGTGCGAGGGATGGGAAGAGATGAGAGGTAACCTGAGATCAGGCGTTATGATTATAATTATTTTCTTCTTCTTTGCTTCTTTGGCTCGAGAGGGAAAATAATGATCGCAGGTTAGATGAGAGGCAACTGTATTTGCAGGCTAGTATACTGAGGTGATCCAGCCTATCGTCCCTCGGATATGGGTTAGTTTATTGAACTGAAGAACATTGAGCAAGTATATAGCCTAAGCTCGAAAGGAAATCCGGACTAGGAAATGAAATCCAGGCACTAAATATAATGGTCGACTTAGCGGAATGCACATGTGAAAAGTAATGAACTGCAGGCGTTTTAATTAATTTCTTTTAACAGGATTTTATTCATTTTCGGATTCATTTACTTTGTCGAGCTGTTTAAATTTTATAATAACTATTTCCGGCATTAATGTCTTTTCGCTAAAAGTGATCTATTCGTGCCCCAAGCGGAAATCATTTTTAAATGGGTTGTATCTAAACACCCATGAGAACTAGACCGCTCTTACTTGGTTGAGACGCCGGCACATTTTTAATAATGCATGATCTTCGTTCCATTCTGAGGCTGTGTGTGAGACTGGATTGGTACTGTGGTCAAGACAATGAGGTTTGCAACTTAAAAGTGACCCTTAATGGGGCAAAACTTAAGGACGACACAAAAAGACAGGCACTCTGCATGCACTTACAATGAGGACAGAAAATGCCCGCGTAGGATCTGTGGAGATATTTGATATCAGCAGGAGCGATAGCCGCATCTCTGCTGGAAGACAAAGGCTTTTCTCTCTTTGTGTTGGTTGGAGAAAATGAACAAGGAAAGATAGGGTACCCTATACTTTTTTTTTTTGCATTGAGGGGAACTGGGAATTGTATGTTTTTCCAAGGTTAATGGCCGCTTATTCCGAGGAGGGTAGTTTATACGAAGCTGTTCCAGGCTCCAAGATAGCGGGGGCAACGGATCGCCCCCCCCACCAAAAAAAAAAAAAACAGAAAACCGCGTGGACCGACAGCCTGGCACAGGCTAACCACACAGATGTCCCAGGCTCAGTGACAAAGGTCCATGAAATTCATCCTGTAATCACATTTCCCTCAGTGTACTTTTCGGATAAGAAAAATCGTGGTTATACTTAGAATCGTAGTATAGAATAGCATAAAAATCCAAAATAAGTCTTTGAAGTGCAAACTTTGAGTCAAGTTCTCTAGTTCAGTGTGCACCAGTTCTGATGACAGATAAATGAAATAAACTCTATCATGCTTACAGCGCTTTTTTATGGAAAATTTCGCTTAAATATCCGCCATTTCCCGGTCTTTTTGCAGGCATTCAGGCGTTGCGAAATTTTTTGCGAAGTCAACCAATCACATTGAAGGACTCACATGGTTTCACTGCCAAACATACATGCGCGTTACAGGGCTTTCGATGTGCGAACTTGTTCAATGTCGAAGGGCTTGATCATCTTTGCCTTTTTTTCGTTACAGTTGAAACTCAAGCAGTCACCATTCCGCGTTTAAAAGAGGGAAGACTTGTCTGCTGCGACCCGGCGGTGAAGGTAAGCCATTTTTGCCTGAGATTAATTGAATTTCAAGTGAGAAAGATGCCAACATAGTTTAGCCACGTTGAGCAAAACCGTCAATGGCGGACTTCTTTAATATCTGGTAACGTTTTCCTTTAGGGCGGCCACACCGCGAAGATCTTTTCCAACTGCCCGGAGGCCGATTTCCTTAAAAAAGAAAAGTTTGAGTTCACCTTCAACGTGGATTCAGACCCCAGCTAGCGTTTGCTAAGGGCGTATTTGGTGGTAACAGACAAGTAAGATTACGTACTATTGTAGTAGTGATAGGGCCTTCCAAGTTTGTCAAGCTGGAGGGAAAATGCTCTTTAAACATTTCTTCCTCTCATAATAGTTTGTGAAGAAACATTTTAAGCCAGCTATAAGCTTAACTATTTTGTACGAACGAGTAATGGTAACACACTCAGCTTTGCCGAGTGGAAAGCACAGGTGTTAGATCGTCAACTTAAAACACGTGGGATTTCAAGCTTGATCATTACTGACTCCTCCACTTCTTCTTTTGAAATATGAACTTGTTACATTGCGCCCCACAAAAGTGCCATGGTACAGTAACAAATTAACGCTTGAATTTGGGTTTACACTTAATGAATATGTACCAGCTTTGAACACGTGTAGTCTTTCATGCAATTAATTCATTCCCATGCTTAAAATAGATTTTGTGTGGAGGGGGGGCTTTTCTTAAAATACCTATTGCGGCGAATCCAGCGTTGATTATCGCAAAATAAATTTGTGTCTTTAAGTGATTTTCTTCTCATCGCTCAGAGGATCAATTCATAATCCTATGTCGCTACATTGTACTTTATTGAGTTTGGCAGAAATTTCAACAACTAATTGCGAACTTGCTCTTTTGTGCCAATATGCAGCTTTGCATGTTGACCTGCTCAAGAGACAAACAGTGACTGTTATGTACTGTTGTTTTTGCGAATTTTTCTTTTCCTTGTGGTTCACTTGAGCTATATAAGTTATAAAAAGGGATGTGACAGTTTTGATGGAGTGACTATGATTTGTTTACTGCCTTATGCTAAAACTGCTACTGGTAATACTCAGGACTGTATAAGTCATGGGCTGAATAATTTTTAATAATTTACTAGCAAAGTAAAAGAAAAATCTCAGAACAAGCTGATAACATAATATGTTGTCAGCTTGTTCTGATTTTTTTTCAGAGTGAGATAAAGAATTAAAAAATTCAAACTGTTACTTAAATTTTCAAGTGTAACTGAATCTAGCAAAACAAAATATATCAAAAACCAAAGGGTAGACCTGGTTAAATATTATCCAATGCTCAGTGGGAATGAATGTCGACTCATTTAAAGCGAGACAAGAAGTGCCTAGAATGAAAATAGTCCAGGGATGAAACTAAGTACCAAGTGACTTGTTCAGTGAGGACCATAGCTTACTGGTGATGAAATGGCACCAATCATAGCAGGGAATCATCACCTTCATAGACAAAAAAAACTTTAAGACAAGAATTTCTGAAAAAGGAAAGCATGCAGCTAAAAACAGTCTAAAACAATAATTATTGATAAAACTAATGTGAAACAACTAATTTTGAGGTAATTTTGAACGGTAAAGCACAAGTTATTATATTTTACAAAAAAAATAAAATTTCTTTTTGAACAATAGTTGGTCTTAAAACAGGGGTGCTGAAAAGCAGTTGGGGCCTGAAACCAGAATTTTACATTTTATTTCAGTTATGGACAGCAGTGTTCCATCAAAGTTAAAAATTTGAGCTTAAACACCAATGAGAATGTTTAGACTTGACACATGCTGTAATTTTCATAACATTGTGCAAGAAGAAAAGGTCACTAAATTTTTGCTTTTTAATTTGTAATTTATAACAAGTTGCACTATTTTTTGTAGCCTTCAGTGATAATCATTCACAATGAAGTGTGTTCTTGATGGGGGCGTCAGTCTCAATGTTGTGAGGGATGACTTATCCTGTGTGGATGTTATTGAGCAGACACTAAGTGCCGAAGGAAGAGAGGTATGTTATGGCTTCCCTCCCTCTCAAATCTGTCAATACTGTCTTACATGTAGAACCCTGCTATTTTAATTTTACAGGTGTTCTCTATGCAGAGCTTTTTTGTGATCCACAAAATAACATTTTGTCAAAGAGAAACAACTGCACCAATTAAATCTAGGAAAATCAACTTCATCTTTGACATTAGTAAGTAGTTCTTACTAGACTGAGTTTTGATGGTACCCAGGTTATTTGGTTGGTCCGTTTTCTAAAAGAAGTGCTAATTGTTTTTAGAGGCCAATAAATGTTTCAATTAGTCAGTGTTGTGATTAATTAAGTCTGGTTTGATCCACACAAGGTTCATGAAATTCTGGGAGTGTGAAAAAAAACAATTGTAAAAATATTCCTTTTATGCATTCATCAAAATAAGTCTGGCAAACTGTCATAACAAGCATGAAATTTTAATAACATACTTCCCCTTTCGTTAGTTCTTTTTGGTGCCAGAAAGAGCCATTGTATTGATTGTCAGACCAGTTGGTTAACTTGTGTGGGCTTCAACTGACTTACCTGCAATCATATGGTGGAAAGTGTTTCTACAAGCCAGTTTTACAGGCATAGAAATGACTAATAATGTTAGAAAAAGTTCTGAATTATTCCTGAACAAAATGTGAACATGAAATTTCATTATAATTTTCCCTAGTTTCCTTGAAATTTATAAAGTAATAAAGTAATGCCATGATTTGGGTTCCATTAAACGGTTGCAAAAGCGTTTTTCCGACCTGTAATGCAGTTGCAGTTCTGCTTTCCATTGATAGCTTAATTATTGTTGTTGAAATATTACCACAGGATACTGATGATGCCTTCTACATTGTGGATTTGGCCAATGTTCTTCTCAAGCACCAAAAGTGGGTTTCTCTGCTGCCAAGAGTGGAGCCGTTTTATGGTTGGTATTTAGGAAAGATACGTGTGGCATTTGCTGTGGAGTGATAATGGCAGAGAGGTTGGGCACCAAATTTATTGCGAACGGCAGATATGCTTATGTGATGGCAAGTGTATCTCAGAACTTGAAAGCCTTCATCTTTTCCATTGCTAATAGCCTGTTAGAAACGACAAGTGTAATTAACGGCAGGATAGCAGGAAATATAGTCCCCTAGTTGTCTCTGCCCATTTTCTCTTGCAGTAAATGTGATGCTGGTTCTCTCTATTATTGCTTGTATTTGTTTAAAGAGAATTTTTAAGAATTGATGTCATGGGGTCAAAATTTGACAAGATTTAGATGGCTGTCTTAGATCAAGCTTTCTTATCAGCATTGTAAAAACCAGGATCACCCTTTTGGGCCAGTGTTAAGAACCACATACACAGGAATAGGTAGTTTGTTAGAGGGAACGGGAGTTATGAAACTGAGGAGTGGTTAAGTACAAGAAGCCGGCCACAGATTTGTTGAAACATACATGCAGTCTCATTTTTTACAGAAAAATCAAGCTTTCTGTATTTTTGTAATGGAAGGCTTTTTAACAGGGTGCAAAGAAAGTTTTACAGCCTCCCATTCGGCAAGTTATTTCAACTAGCGCGAAAAAATTTTCTGATGACCAGGATTGATAACAGTTCTTCTGTAATTTGAATTCCCGAAATAAACTTCACTTGCCCATTGGGCAAGTTAAGAACAAAATTCATAAGCCTGATAGCAAAATCCACTAGCTCCAGGCCATAGGACAACTTTCTCTGTTGGCTGACTTTGCATTGTATGTTTATCAATCAATTGGTCAATTCTGGTTTTATCAGTCTTCACATCACCTCATGTGATCTTTTCTTACACTGACAGTGAAACGTTGTTATAATGAACCCATACAAATGGAATAATATATGGACTGTGCAGTGCTACTGCATTGTAAGCGTATGTTTTTGAGACAACTTTTTTCTTTCAGCAATGAAGTGTAACAATGACCCAGTTCTCCTGAAGATGTTAACAGGATTAGGAATAGGATTTGACTGTGCAAGCAAGGTAAAGAGATCTTTTTGGTTTAATGAACTTGACATTCAGTTCTCTGAACTGTTGATGTGTAAGATCTAACATCAAATTTCCCTTGCAGATTGAAATGCAGACAATGTTATCTATGGGTGTGCCACCTTCAAAAATTGTTTATGCCAATCCCTGCAAACAGGCGTCACATCTAAGGTTAGTTCAAAATCTTAGAAAGTGGCTTCTTCCTTTGCTGACTACCAATGGATGCCACAAACAAGGAGATAAATACAAACAAACAAGATTGCCTTTAAACTACCTTGTTGTGTGAAAACTAACAGTTCTTTCATTTTATATCTACAGATTCTCCGCAGAACATGGTATTTCTCTGATGACTTTTGACAATGAGATGGAACTACATAAAATAAAGAAGTTGTATCCCACTGCCAGGTGGATAAAGCTGTCAGTTTGATTAAAAACCAACTATATATATTCATGATTTATTTCACCAGGCACAGCTATTACAATCAATCAACCTTTATTCCTCCTAAGATTAAAAAATACATATCTTAAGTTATATTTACAGATTGGAAGTCTTAAATTTAATATAAGCGTATTTACAAATTACATGTAAGTGCAATTCAAATTTTGAGAAATAACGATAAGAAACAAGTCTTTTTTCTCACAGGTTGCTTCTGCGAATTCGTACCGATGATTCCAAGTCACTATGCCAACTGGGAATAAAATTTGGGGCTCCCCTGAAGCAATGTCGTCATCTTCTCAAAGTTGCCTTTGACTTGAAGTTAAATGTGATTGGAGTGAGGTAAAGCTTTGGTTAATGTCAAGTTGAAAAATAGTTTGGTATATTCCTGACTTACACGTTACCCTACAAATTAGAGGGTAATATTGTTGTTACTGTAGTCTTTGCTGTTTACTGTTTTTCTATTTCTTGAAACCCTGTTTGAAAGACTGGGATGGAAATGTGAAAATATAAGTTGAAATTATTTTGCATTAATCAGGGTACTAGAATGGCATTGATGAAAGCAACTTGCCCTCTCTTAGCTGGTTTAACCAGTGTTGATGAGTGTAGTTTGTGTACTCCCTGAGCCTAACCTTATTTACAAAACAATCAAGGAATACTTATTAATAAGTATTTTTAGGTAAGGTAAAACTAAATGGTTTTCTCCTCTTATCAGTTTTCATGTTGGCAGTGGTTGTTACGATGCAAATGCCTATGGAACAGCTGTCTTAGCTGCCCGAAGTGTATTTGACCTTGCAGTAAGTGGAGTGTCTTTATGGGTCTCTTGTATTGCAAAATTAATCAGAATTGTACACAGTGTCAAGTGTTTCTTTCAAGATTTTTCTTCATACTCTCATAGTTAACCAGAAGAAGACTTTTTTTTTACAGTCTGCTGTTAATTTAAATTGTTGCATAGGAATAATAAATCCTAGGCTCACAAAAAGCCTACATCTCTAAAAGCCTAAAGCTGCAGAATGTTGTTTGTACCTGCTTTGACTCAGGATTCAACTGTGTCCCAAATTCCTTTTTGTGTACTATGCTAATTTATTCTCTTCTTTGTTGACATGGCTTACTACCCTTGTGTTTTAGACTCAAATTGGCTTTGACTTCACCATACTGGATATTGGTGGAGGATTTCCTGGAGCCCCTGATGCTGCCATAACTTTTGAAGAGGTTAGCTTAATGAGCCTTGCTTTAAAAAGTAGCTTTTGTCATAAGAGATACATTAAAATTCAAAGCAAAAATATTTGAAATTGCATGCTAAAAAGTTCTGATTATGTACATTGTACTATCGGGTCTGCTTCATAGGCTTAAAAAGTTGAAACTGATTTAAAATTTTCAGTGTAATTTTTATAACAAAAAGCTGGTTGCTTGTTTTCAGGTCTGTTCCTTATTAAACCCCTTGCTGGAGGAGCACTTTCCAGTCAGCTCAGGTGTGCAGATCATAGCCGAACCAGGCCGTTTTTATTCTGCTTCAGCTTCTACTCTTGTTGTAAATGTCGTTGCGCGGCGCACTGTAAAAGGAAGCCAACTGAAAGAGTGTGACAAAACTGCTAATGGTGCTGCATTTAAGGACACAGATGAGTTGGTGAGTTGGTGTTGTGATAGTTTTATTCCAACCTGTATTTTTATTGTTTCATTTTGTAAATGTTAAGAGCATTAAAGGGGCTGTGTCATGGCAGTCCAGTTCATTTTGTTTTATTTTGCCAATAACTCGCCCTAAATCGCAATGGCACTTAACGTAAGCAAAGAAATTACAGGTAAATGACAAAATCAGAGATCCAAGACAAACAAATGTATCTCCTGAGCATTATTTTTGAAGTTGCAAGCAGCAGGGATCAACTTTGAAAAACTGTTAGGCTGAAAAGTTTTCCAAAACCCTAATTTTAGTCTGTTTCAGTCTTCTTCAGTTTTGCCCATCTGTGGCATCTGTTGTTTCTGTTATGTTTTTTTTAACCTTCCTTTAAAGATTTAAGCGGTTATTTTTATCTTTCTCTTAATTTAACGGGCATTTTGTAATTTCCTAATTTGGCTGCATTTGGTGACACAGCTCCTTTAAAAGGTGGTTTCCTTTATGCCTTGTGAAAAGTTTCTACCATACATGTACTTTTTCTGAGGCCTTCACAGGGCTTGAAAGAAGTCTTGTCCGGTAGTCTGGGACACGTAGATTTTCTTGCTGGGCAAGTAACTTTTAAAGCTTACTTGCCCAGTAGGCCAAGGTCCAGGCAAGCCATCCTCTAAAAACATTATTCACCAAGACAACCAAGAAGTGGCCTTGGGCAAACAAAATGTAAGAGCTGCTTGCCTAAAGGACACGCTTGAATTAAAGTTCCTTCTTTCTAGTGATGCTTCAGTTGCTCAAAGGGGAAGTATTGGATTAACGTTTTCAAAACTCTGATTATCTCGTCTTGATGACTCAGGAAGACAGCTTTTGTCAAGATTTCTTTAAGTTTAGGTGTTTTCAAGTCGCTAAGAGCTCTATTTGTGTTCATTTGTCTTTTTCTTACTTGTAAGTAGCTTCTGTTAAACTTTTTTAAGAGATCTTTTCTTGCTTAACCCAAAAACTCTCGTTATCCCTTTCAAAACTGTGTGCCATTTTGGACAAAACAGTGAAAACAAGCTTCCCATGATGTCATCTGTGCGACCCTACTGTAATAGAATATAAGCAAGGACCAATTTAAGTGGGTGTAGCATATAGATCATAGAAGTGGCATCCAAATCTTTAAAAATTCAAATGGAACAACAAGCTAATGGGAAGTGGTTTTATGGCACATTGGACTCATTGATAAAGCATAAACTGCAACCTTCCTGATGGCCTAAGAAATAGAAAGTTTCTATTTGCACTCTTGGGGTCTTAACACATACAAAGGCATATCTAAGTGACTTTTAATAATGAAAGCTCTACAAAAAAAAGAGATCAGGGTGACTGTTTTTTTTTAAGCATCTTCCAGTAGTTTTATCATTAGTACTAATATCATTATGTATTGCTCTGTTTTAGGGTTTCATGTACTATGTAAATGATGGAGTTTATGGTTCATTTAACTGCCTCATGTTTGACCATGCAACAGTGCATCCAGAAGTGCTTGGTGTAAAAGACGAAGAGACTAAAAAATTCCCATCTAGTATTTGGGGTCCTACATGTGACTCTTTGGATTGTATCTCCAAGGGTGTAATGTTACCTAAGGTAAGTACTCTAGAAGTAGTTGTTTCTGATTAATGTTTCTTTATATTTCTGCAGATTTTTTTATAAAAATTAATCAATTAATTAAGTCAAATAAATGCAGTTTTTCTCTCCCTTAACTAATGGGTAGAATAGGATGTCGCTAATATTATAATATTTTATTGTGAGAGAAGGTTTGATACAGATATTATTAATATGTGGCTTAAAGTTTCTAAAATGTACACTGTGGTTCTGTTCCTCTAACCAGGTCAATGTGGGAGATTGGTTGTTCTTTAGAAACATGGGAGCATACACCTGCTCGGCAGCTTCTACTTTCAATGGCTTCAATAAACCTCCTAAGTACTACACCATTTCCAGTAGCTGCTGGTATGTAGAAGAGTGATTGAATTGGGGTTTTCATTAAGGGTGCTTTCCAAAGGTCAGAGCTGGCCCACCAGTCATTTTGAAGAAAAACTAGTTATTTCTTGAATTTTCCCTAACGCCCTGCACTGCTGACCATACTATTTATAAAATAATGGACTAATCTGGTTGGATAGTCGTGCTGAATAGTGGAATTACTTTTACAATTGGACTGGTTTGGCCAGCCAGTTCTAACCAATGGAAAGTGCCTTCAGGTTGGTTGAAAAGTAGACAGCTAGGATGTAAAAGTAGGTGGCTGGGCAATCAATTGCTAAAGACAATTTTTAGGCTTTCACCCCCCTCCACGTAACTTTTTTTTTTGGCCCAAAAGTAGGTGGTTCAAAATTCAAAGTTGTTGCTTTTTTAGTCAGTTGCCAGCAGTTAATGTCCCTGTTGTATTATACTTCTAATCTTAATCAGAGCATTGAATCAAGACTTCTAAGCGCTAAAATTTGTAATCCAAAGTTTTGTTTTGTTCTGTTACAGTACAGGCCACATGTTGAAACACGCCTGTGAAAAAAATACACACAAAAATACACGAAAAAAAATTTTGGAAACTGAGTGTAACGCTTAATGTAGATAATGTAGATGTAAAAAAATTATATAGTGGAAAAACGGGGAGAACCATTAAAATCTCCATATATTTCAACCACTGTTTTTGATGGAGCATAGAATTCAAAAAGTAATTTAAAAAGTGTGCTTAGCACTGACTTAAGGCTGTTTTTCGAATTTTTTTTTTTTGGCTTATTATTTCATAAAAAAAAACTAAAAATGGCTTTTTGCTGATTTTTTCACTTGACTTTACATTAAATAGCCAGATTTGGTTGTTTTATGCTGAAAAGTGGATTTTCCTCAAAGAGCTTGGTGCTTTGCTTAAAATAATTTTGTTAATCTACATGTCTACTGCACATTTGATAAATGTCCCTGTCATGCTGCCTTACACTTCATGTGCATGCACTGCTTAAGAATAAATTTAATAAGCAAAGATGCAGGTAGCTTATTCATTCAAATTTCCTCAAGTTTGCTTTCATTTATCTCTCCTTACAGGTTGATACAATTCTGCTTGTGCACTCTTTAGGAAATGAAATGGCTTTTCAGCTTTTTATTTGCAATGCTTTTAAAATTAAAGACCTTGGAAAATACCCATACAGACAACTAGCAATCATCAATTTTAATTTTGTTGTGGTTTTGCCTCTCTAGGCCAATGCTAAGCAAAGTTTTAAAGAGGTTTGGATTGGATTTGCACTTTCCCTGTCATTCGTCATTGGATCAAAAAGCCCTCATCTTCAATGAATGGCCTGAGTGTATGGAAGTTCTTTTCTCTGCACCCTGCTCTACATGAGGAGCTAAAATTATTACCATTTCTTTCGTAATGGCAATGGTGCCATAAACTTTTGGTCACTGTCTGCATTGTAGCATCATCTGCTATTAGTTTACTGGTGTCAAAACATTAATGTATTTAAAGACTGATTATTATTATTTTGTAATACATTCCTCTAACTGGAATGTTGGCATATAATATAGATATATTTTTGCACAAGACATTTGTGGGTGGTAAGATATATCTGAAAAATTAAATTATCCCACCTTTGTTGATGGAATCTTGTTAAGTGAATTATAATATTTGAGACTGTACACAAGTGAATTCATCTTTTGTCAAAGTTTGTCGTTAATATCATTTTCTCTGAAAAGAATGTTTGCAACCTCGAGTGTTTAGGTGTGAATTTTTTGTGTTTACTTGATATGACCCATTTGCCTCTTTAACTGTGCAATAACAGGGGTTTAAATAATTTTTTTTTACAAGCGGCTGCTGAAGGTAGATCAGGCGGCTGTGATCACAAAAGGGGCTGCAAGGCCCCTTTCCGCTAGGGAGGTCTGGGGCATGCTACCCCAGAAAAATTTGAAATTTAGAACCTCGGAAATGCAATTTCCTCCGAAATGCAATTTCCAGCATTCTGGGCATCAAAAAGAGTGTTGTTTATGTTTATTTTTATTGACCAGTGAACACAGTTTTTGAAGAAGTTAATAATGTTTAAGGTTCATTAAAGATGCACTTTGAAAACTTCTTTCGCTATCTTGATGACGTTAAATATCCACTGCAGCAGTGATGTCTTTGTAGTACTGTTTAAATCAAACATTATTTGCTGTTCATTTTTGTATACCAACATGGCGGCCAACTATGACCCTTGAAACTTAACACGAGATTTCTTGTTTGAGAAGAAAATCTCTTAACTGATATTGTTACAAACTTAACAATCCTTGTTTTAACTGAAAATTTCAGTCGAGATTTTTGACGTTTTTTGTTTCTTTCTTTGTTTCTTCACTTTTTAATTTAGTTCTAGAAATCTTAGAAAGACAAACTGAATAAACGGCGGTAAGAGGCATGATAGGCGGCGGTTTAGGTAACCGGCTTTTATTGAAATCATTGAATAGTGACCTTCTAAATTTAAAATTAACGTTATGAACTTAGTGATAATGTTGATGTATACACGTTGAGTTTTAGGAGTTGCTTGGATGAACTGGATCTTAATAAACTATTAATGTTTGGCAGACGACTCATTGGAACGTATTTTATCATGCATGTGTAATTTTAGTAAAGTTGCATGTGAAAGTGTGTTCTAGCTTTCCCGTTGTAATTTATCGCGAACAGGCCATTTGCAAGTTCCAAAACACCTCACTTTCAAAATGAGGCGAAGCACAGAACCTTTTGTGTGAGATTGGTTTCATTTGCCGGACTTTGACCCTAGCCCCGTTTTTTGTAGTATAAAAGACGACTAGTCTCCCTCGCAGCCGTTTTTAGTATCGTCACGCAACGCGGGAGGAGCGTTGCGTGACGATACTAAAAACGGCTGCGAGGGAGACTATAAGACGACAGGAAGAAAAGTAGGGTATGTTGAACAACACAGTCTAAACAAAAGTATAAGTGAGGATAAGGAACACACACTATAACCTCTTCACAACCCAGGTAATGATTGTCCGTAAAGAGAAGCGTTGCACTTATTTAACAAATGGACAGCAATTTTCCATGTTCTGTTCTCTTATCGATCGTAGAAATAATAACCTGTTCCAGGCTCTCATACAGTAGGGATAACGCGTAAGTGAAAGGCATGCGAAAAAATATGAACGCGTGATCTGGGAAAATGAGCGGTGGCCTCCTTCCTCTCCCCAGTTTCCTCCCTTGTTATGTTCGTGTTCGCGCCTTCTCAATTTTTTAGGCTCGATTTCCGCCGTCTCCCGGGTCCGGTCTTTGACCCTCCCCTAAGAGAGACTCTTTCGGGGGGATGAGTGTGGGCTCATTTTCCCGAACAGCGGCTGGCAATCAAGCCTACAATTTTTGAGACCCGACTATCGCGGAGCCTGGGACAGGCTATAGAAATGACGTCAAATTGTTCGCGAACATTTTACATACGCTCATCTCGTTGGCCACTTTAAAACGAGAAGGAAACTGGACCGAGTTAGGTTTCGCAAAGACTTTCGGGATCGCTACCGGGGATGCGCTATTCAGCTATTGGCAATTTGTTTGGCTGTCCTCAAAATAGTCATGAGCATGATCCAATATACTCGCTCAGTATTTACGCGCGCTTTTCGGACCGATTTTTCTTAAAGTTTTCCTAGAAAAAGATTGTAATGGGAAAAAAGGTCGTTGTGCCGTGGTTGTAAAAATGTTCGCATTTGTCCCGAGAAATATACAATGAAGTTCTCTTTTTGCCTGAAAAGGGCGCGTAAATACTGAGCGTGCAAGACCTTCGCCGATGAGCGTCTATTGGCTAGCAACCTCGGTATTTCATTTTTCCCTAGCTATTGCTTTGGGGTAGCTGTCAAGGGAAACTCTATCATTATCGAGAGATGTCCAAGACCCAGACGATAAATTTTCCCGAGGTAAGTTACCTGGGGAAAAATCGGTCACACTTAAAAAATCAAGTTTCCCTAGGTAAATTGTCAACAAGTCGTGTTTACCTGGGTAAAAAGTCTGTAGTGTGACCACAGCTAATGTTATGCAGTTACAAGAAGTCAACCACAATATCGCAGAGCTAAGTTAGTCATGATTTTTTATACATTTTCTAGCTGCTTGAAATAATGACTGCAGCAGATTCCGAGACAGAATAAAATTAAATCGCGAGACACAATGGAAAACATTCTATATTTTCTTTGTTAGTTAATTATTAACACACCCCAGCCCAACCTCTATTCTCGGTCCTGAGGTGTCCCCTAGCCTGCATAGCAAAAAGGAGATGGGGAGGGGGGAGGGAGAAAAGCACGAATCAAGTCATTGCGCGAAAAGTTAGAGCGGGAGCAAAAAAAAAAAGGTGGAAGGGGGAGGGGAGAGGAGGAAACGCTTGCCCCGTAAACCCCGTTGATATTTCACGGTTCGGTTGATTTGTAAATTGACAGCTCGTCAAAATAGAATTACCGGTATAACGAAAAGATTACCCCTGGATTACCAGATTTGTAAAATTACTTTACTCTCGTTCTCGACGAACTCGCGCGGAAACGCTTGCTACGCGGGCTAGGTGTCCCCTGAATAGAGGTTTCTCTGCACTTGACTGCAACCTGCATTGCCCGCAGTACTTCAAATTGCATTTGGGTTAGTCGATATAACCTCGAAGTTCGAAGTAGCTTTAGAATGTGGATTTATTTCGAGTGGACAACTGAGGCCAGTACCAGGTAGAACGGGGCAAAAAGGATAGTTCTTTTTTTGGCGCGAATAGCCTAGGTACCAGGAAATAATCAAAATGGCGGATTTCATGGAAGATGTTGGAGTCGGCTATTATCGATCACTGGATCCGCCAAAAAACTTCGCAGTAAAGTAAGAACTCTAATTCCATCCAGTATGCTTTTATATTTTACGTGTAGTTTTACGTGTATTCTGAAGTTTAGCCGGTATTTTTAAGATGAGAAAGCAATGCTCAAAAGTTGTTTTCTATAACTCATGGCTGGCTACACTTCTTAGGGTAAAACTTCGACGAGTGACAGCTGCGAGTTATCTTCCGGAGTTTAAAATTGGCTCACAGCAAAATATCAATAATCTTGAAGGAGCTGAAGTTGCTGGTGAGGCACTTGAGATGGCAACTTTACGACGAGGTAACGAGTCAATTCAAAATTACTTGAGACTTTTCTTGATCCTCTTGCAAATTTAACTGGTGGGAATGGCTGTATTGTATTAGGATTCCATAATTATTATGGAAACCTAAATGTACAAAACATAATTATACATCGTTCAGTTTTAGCTAGTTGTTTTCTTCATCTTCATGCGCATCCTTGCAGATATAAACAGCTGATCCATCTCTGTTATGAACTGCAAAACATCAAGAAAGTCAGGCAGGTCTGTCAGCAAGTTTTGAAGCTGGTGGAGAAATTAGAAAAGAAGCCATAGATTTAGCTTTTTCTCTTGTTTACTGAATTTATAGATAGATAGACAGATAGATGGATAGATAGATATTCTGTTTATTTCACCCACTTTCAACAATAAATGAATTGTTGGGAAAGGTCATTGTCACATACAATTAACCATTTACATCCATTCACTGACATTTATAAGTTACAAAATCATTAATTCTTCTGGTATGACCTTGTTGACGTCTTGGAAGTTGGACCCTTATACTGTAATGAAACTTGATAGCGGCTGGGGAGGGGATGATGTTCTTAAGGGGGGACATTTGGCGTGCAGTAGCCATAAACCGCTTACAAGCTCCTACTCTCCTGTCACTAAGAGATTCCAGGCTGGCCTATACCACTATCTGAGACTTCTTTTCTTTCATAGGCAGATTTAGCATAGCTTTTTTTTTTACCCTTTACCCAAAGGTGGTTCAAGGTTAAAATGCAAAGGTTTTTGTTGTAGAAAGGGTATTTATCTGGGGTCCTTTTTCACTTTGCCAAACCAAACAGTCAGCAACTAGTGGAATTATCAAGGGAAAAATAGAACGTCACTGTTTGATTGAAACAAAGCTTCAAAATGGAATCAAAGCGATCTATTTGCATTTCAACCGAAATTTTGATTACCGTGTAGCAAAGTACATGTAGGACTGGAAGCAAGAATTTTTTGGTAATGGAATAGCAAGTTTTGGTTGGACTGGACCAACCGGTAAAAGAGGACCACTTCTGGAGGTGGACCACTTTGACTGGAAAATTTCCACATAAATCAAAGTGTTCCACTTATTTTTCGAAAATTTCCAAAAATATTGGCATAACGAAAAGCACCCCTAGTTTGTTATGTCCTAAGGAGGGGCTGGTCGTTTATTACCAGTGAGGGTGGGGTGGCCCTTTTGAGAATGCTTAAAAGATTTTCAAAACAACCCCTGACTTCATCCTTGCTCTTTAGAAATGACCTCCCATAAATTTTACAAATTGTGAAAGTGCCCTCCCTCCTATCAATTATTGCTGTGGAAACTACCAATATTCTAACTTAGAATTATGCCAAAGTTCATCTCATACTTATCTTAAACAGTGTTCTCCTTATCTGGCGGTAACCGGTAAAATTTACGGCCTGCAACTGCTTGAAGGTTTACTAAAATAAAAAAAAGTAGCTGCAACTGCTTGAAGGTTTACTAAAATAAAAAAAAGTAGATTTAAAAAAAAAATGAAGTTGTGATCCAATCCGATTCTCACAAGGAAAATGAATAAATATATATGGAAAAGAACTAAAGTATACACAGCTTTTCTTTTTATGGACCACACATTTTGGAAAGAGAACAGTGAAGACAGAGTAAATTATTGGAATCAAATGTTTTAAATTGTTGTCTAAAGATAACAACGGCTGGTTTGTGTAAAATAGGTCTTAAAATGAGGGAATGACGTTTCAGAGAACTTAGCTCCTAAATTTCCCAGCAAGGGTGGGCCATGTCCCCCACTCCACTACTCCCTTCCCCCCCAGGGAAGTTCACCTCTGGCGCTATTTTTTGCCCTGGTCATGAATGGTCCCTTACCTCCTGAGCTAAATTTTAGGGAGATCACTGCTACAGTCATGTTTACAAGACTGGTGTTTACTGCTACGGCTGTTAGAGTTAATTTCATTTCACACTTGTTTACTGCTTCTCAGCTCTAGCTACCTTCATGAATTTATTTAAATCATCCCCCAGGTAATCCCCCCCCCCGAAAATGACACCCCAAACCAATCAGATTTTGAAAATGACCCACCAGCGGAATGTCCCCTGCCTCCCCCCATCAGAGCTAATAAACAATCAGTCCCTTAACCATGTCAGGTTTTCAAACCCCAGTTACCCCAGAGGAACCCCCAGAAACCAAACTTTATCAGGCACATCTTCCCATTGTGGTGATGCACTGACCATTTTTTGTTGAGACCACCATGTCTTCAGAAGCATGTGATAAGTTATAGGAGTTTATTTTTTAGACCAATAACTTTGATATAAAGTATGACAAAATTTTGTCACAGATCAAGATAAGCAAGATCAAGATGCTGAGGAATGTGTGTTTTATTGGCAGCAAAAAATGTTTTCAAAGGTATTTAAACATGCAAAATTATTTGATATACTTTGAAAAATAAAAATTAAATATTGCTACACATAAAACATTGTTGGATGACAAAATATGAACATCGTGAAACCTCCAAAATTTGCCACAATAGTTATGGCAAGTTAATCCCACAGTAGGGATTTGCAATTGCCCAATTTCATACCGCATGAGAGCTTGGCACTACCGCATTTTCCTAGACTTTTTAAATTCAGGATTCAAAATGACTTGCAAAATAGAAGGTAAAGCAAAGGTCATTTCTTGCAGATGAAACGATATTAAGGGCCAGATTACTCCAGAAAGTTAATATTCTATAGCAAAGAACAGTTGTTTTACTGCTATAAAGAACTTTGATTAAAAATGTCAAGAAGAGAAAGATCTGATTGGAGACTTTCGCTACTTGGAAGTAGTGGAAGGATTCCTGATTTGTTTGACAAAAAATTTGAACAAAGAACGGTCGCATTTAGTTTTTTTTATGGCACTGGATCTGACCGAATATTGTGGAATGATAAGGGAGTGGGTGTACCTGTTTTTACAAACCGTAAAATAAAGACTACGAAAAAGAGAAACACGCTAGAGTGACCCTGAGTGTAAGGGAAAAATCGTAAAAGGTAGGCAAGGCTTACGTTAGGTTTTCTCCCCGTTGCTGCGTACAGTCAGACCGGAAAAAATAATATTCGTCACTGAACATAGATTTAAGTAAGTATACTTCAGTCTTACTTTAGAGGCATTTCTTCATTCTGTGACCAGACCTCATGCATTGAGCAATGTTATAATACACAAGTAATTTTTCTTAGGGGGATAAATTGTGTATAGTTCCTTTGTGAGGCCCCTGCATGTGATACTGTTTTTCCAGTTACATTGGTATTGTAGTAATTTAGTCACTACTCAAGACATGGTAGTGCCAGACCCCTGCACGGTATGAAATTAGGCAATACCAAGGGAAGAGTATTCTGTGAAGCTTTTTTTTTTCTCTTGGGCACAACTCTTGTCAGTTGGTTAGGTTGGCTAGATTTGTTTGTGTTCAACAGCGGAAAATCATTTCTGTTTAATCAATTTTGTGAACCTGCTCAGAGTAGTCTGTGTCACAGATGTAATGCAAGGTTCCTCAGTTAGTAATGACTGCAAAGCAGCGCTGATGTCCTTGTTCTGGGCCTCCAATGGACTCAACAAATTACCGGAAGAGCATTTCAAATTTCCTTTCATCTTGATTGGCAAATTGACAATGGTATTTTCAACAGGCTAATAATGGCACACGCGTACTCAAATCCTGGTACACAGGTAGTGGCCGAGAAGAAGGATTTTGGCATTGTTTCACAGATGGACTTAACCAGAGCTTAGTTTTATCTGCGGCGCAAGCTAGCTCAGAGCTGACTTGAAGCATTACTGGACTTGATGTACTTGCAACGTTTGCATGTTACTGCAGACATGAGGTTTCACATTATTGTGTTTTCCTTTTGTGTGGAAATTTCTCTTATCTACCCTGTATACCCAACCATGTTGTCATAAAAAAGTTCTGTCTGTAGGATTTGCCAAATTAACCAAAGGTAGTTTGGGTGAAAAAGGTTTCCCCCAATAAAATATTATATAAAGTCTTTACTGGAATTAGTAAGTGATAGTAGAAGGTGTGGGCCTAGTAAATGTTTTGGGTTTCAACACAAATATTGTTGATTTTTGCTGTTTCTTATTTTTACAAAAGAGGGAGATGGAATTATACGAAGATTTAAATAATTGCTTTGGACCACTGGAACAGAAGTACCATTCTGAGATATTAAAGCTAAGGTAAATACAAAAACATTAACGTATTAACAATAACTCTAGCAGTAACTTTTCAGTTATATTTTACTTTAGACCAACATCAATTTTCTCCTAACAATATCCATACATACTCATGAGAAAAGGTGATGAGAATTTAACAGAATTATCATCAAAGGGAAAGTTCTTTGATCTTCTATCAACCCATTTTTAAAGGAAATGTATGGAGATCAGTCTGGAGAAGCTGTATGTAGATATTGGGGCCTTTTTTAACTGAGTCTCTTGCAATTTGCTATGACAATGATAAGAATTTTAAATTAATTTGTATCCTCAGAATATTCAATAAAATAATATAGTTGGTTATTTTACACTGTTTATATACTTTTACTCGTATACTTTCTTAAAGAAAATCTTTCCAAATATTAAACTATGATTATTTCTAAACAAGAGTCGGATGGGCTAGACGTTTTGATAGACGGGATGGCAATGTTATTAAAGCTACTGAATAATGCTAGGCATCACTATTGATTGCAACTTGACCTTCTCAGGGCACATCAGCTGTGTGTAAGAAAGCAAGTTCACAGGTTGGAGTACAGATGCACCTGCATAAGGTCATCCCCCAATTGAGGCTTTACTTTTGGGTTTTTAGTCTAGTTTAGGCAAGGGCCTGATATAATGCCTCTTGCTAGCTATATATGGCCCTACAACTAAGGTTCATCTCTGGTTTAAAATTTCTTTACCTAAAACAAATAAATAAGAAAACAGACATGACATGCATATGAGTGTTAGATGTTTTAAGATCGAAAAGCAAGAAAATTATAAGCAAGTGAATATAGGCCCCAATTCACAGGAAAAAATAACGGATTCCCATTTTTGGATTTTTAGGGTATTTAAAGAATACCTATAAAAATCCCAAATTTGGCAAAGTGAGACAAGTCCCAACCAGGGAATTCCCAACCAAGTTCCCTGATTGGGACTTGTCTCACTCTTCCAAATTTGGGATTTTTGTGGGTATTCTTTAAATACCCTAAAATATCCAAAAATGGGAATCCGTTATTTTTTCCTGTGATTGTTCGAAAGGTTGAAAGCATAGCGCTTATACTTTATACTAGATAAACCTCTATCCAGTGGATAATACAATAAGGTCCCTTTACTGATGCACTGTCGGTTTTAGTGATTTTTCAGTGTACAGTGCTATTTTTTATACACACCTAAAAGTTTTTTTTCAGTTTTGAAATATACTATTTTCCTTTTCAGAACAAAAGGGGGGAGACCAAACAACAAGCTGTTTTCCTACGTTGACTGTGATAGTTATGTCAATGTCGATGAGGTAGCTCAATAATTATAATAATAGTGACATTAATAATAATGCCCCCAAGTTATAACCCCATCTACAGTTTGTATCAGAAGTTTTATTCCTTGGTTATAACTCGTGCCCGCTACTCGTAAGCACCCCAAATTATTATAGACCCATCTGTATCTCTATATAATTTCTTTTGGTACATTCCAGCTACAAGAAATTAAAGACAGAGTTTTGAATTTTTTCCATGGAGTGAAAATTGAAGTTTGTATGTGTGATTATTAGTTTGCTTCAAAAACTATTTTTATTCCCTGACTTGTTAGCTTACAACCAGGCTTTTACTCATGTCAATAAAATAACTGCTAACTAATTTTCCTCATTATTGGCTGGCAGGAATCCAGGACTCTAACAACATCACCTTCTGAAATATCAAGTTACCTTGCAAAGAACATGTCAAGTGTAAGGAGGAGAAACATTACAGCCAAAATTGATAGAAGGTTGGTAAAATTTGCTTCAAGCCTATCTTAATTTGACTCTTCATAGGTTGTTTATTTTATAAAATGATTCTAACAGCCTGAAAAAGTATTCATCACTGATGGATGTATTAAGATGTCCATAAACAATTGTTTAAATTGGCCATTGTACCATTAAAAGGTCATTCCAATTTGTTTTGAAACCCTGTTGCTGCCAAATTGGGAAACAAAAAGACCCTAGGGGTATGAAAGCTATAAAATAATGATAATGATTGTAGGATATCAATAATTTTTTAAGAAAGTTTTTTACATAACAAGGATGTTTCCAAATAAAAATTTAGAAAAAAAAAATGATAGAAGGATGGTATTCAAGAGAAATATTAATGTTTGGCTACAGAGAGATGATCTTTTGTTTTAGACATCGTCCTGGTGGCTTTGCTCCTCGTGCTGATCCTGTTGTCATTCATGAGTCTGAGACAACCAAGACTGCTGCACATGTTGTTAATATTCCTTACAAGACAATGCATGTTATGGCTGATTTGACTCCAGAAGAAAAGTTAGTATTGCTAACAGTACACGTGCCGTTTTAAATTAATATTGAAATGTAATTGTCAACTTTTGCCTGGTTCCAGCTAGACTTTCAAAGATTTCTTCAGCCAAATAATATGGTCTGCGGGATGAGAACTTTTCATTCCTAATTGGTACCAGTTTAAGTGCAAAAAAAAAAAAGAAGAAAAAAACTTATAGCAATCAGATAACTACTTAGCTCTTTGGGACTCTTGGGAATAAAATTGTCAATCACAAGTAATTAAGCATAATAAAATGTGACTTGGGGTTGAAATTCCAACATGGGGTCGGTTGCAAAAGTGATAAAAGATGCTCTTCAGGCCATGGGATATTCTGAATTGTGTGACTATCTGAGGGAAACAATCGAATGCACCTGAAATCTTAGTTTGTGATAACTTTAACATAAAATAAACAAATTTGCTCTTTTGATGTTAGAGAAACTTACATGCGTTTGACATTCTTTTGGTCGGGGTGGAATCTATACATTCTGCCATTAAAGTCAAGGACTTGCAATCGTAACCTGAGACAGCAAATGCGAGTCACACCGCTCCCCAAATGAATACCCTTCAAGTGAGACAAGTTGACCTTTTCCTGGCTGCAAAAGCCAAAAAATTTCACTCTGCTCACCCTCAGCTGTGAAAGTGAAACTCGTGAAGTCGACTTGTGACAAGTCTGGGTCCCAGCAATCATTATGCCTAGGGAACTTGAGATTGTGTAGTTATAATCAGCTGGGATAAGGGAAAGGTGGTTGTTTCATGCCAAAGAAGGCGGTTTCACTCTTTCATTGGAGACTTCTTTCTTTCTTGATGGCCAAAAATTAATACAACAATGTACTAGGAGACTCTGCAGGCAGGGGAGTCCTTAGTACAAAACTATGAGTGGTCTAAATATAGGTGTACTTGTACCCAAAGGTCATGATCTTAGTTATTTAGATTTTAATAACTGACCGAGATTAGTGTTCCTCTTTATCTTCAAGAGCAACGCATGATCAAAAGGATGAACATGTTCTGTTTTCTGTCAAGGTAATTATGATTTATTTCATTAAGAATTAGTATGGCTTGTATTATATCACAGTCATAAACAGTTACTAATCTGTGATCCATTAGAGAAATTTTTTTATTGATCTGTCCTTTTTTGCCTTTTGTGCAGATTGATGTGAATGGCCAAATTTTTGTCAAACCTGATTTTAATGGAGAAAACCCACCATATCGCATAGAGACCTGCAATGATCTAAGAGGTGGGTATAATTTGCAATTCTGTTGGTGAAATATTAATAGGACTTGCTCATTATTTTATTTAGCTTATCCTCGTGTGTTCTGTCTAAGGTTTTCTTTTTGTGGATATTTTCAGTTGATTGTCTGTGTTTACCCCCTCCTCAATGGTACTTGTTTCCAATGTACTTTACTTAGACCTTCACAAATCTGGCCATAGCCTTAGATCAGTGTAAAAAAGAATTCAATATGGCTTAAAATATTCTGCTTCAAGGTTTTTGTCCACTGAAAATAAAAATTACTCATTTTCCTAATGGATTCCATCTTAACATCATAAATTGATCCTATTAAAGATTTTAAACTTTTATTTATCTTAGTTATTTTTATTTTAACTTTCAACATAATTTTTAACGTTATTTTTTGGTGTGGAACCGAGTAACTGACCACAGTCCTAGGTATCTGTAGGAAGAGGGTTTTTGTCTTTTTGATATGAGCGTTAGTACAAAATAATGCACTTATTTGAGTGGGGCAGGGATGTTCATTTAAACAATTGTGGAATTATTCTTGATTTTAATTTTTTTTTTCAGAGGTTTATGAGTATACAATTGAGCAATGTTCTCCACAAATGACAAGGTATGAGAACTTTGATAAACTTTATCAACTTTTTTCAGTATAATTTCTGTATCACCAAGTTGGTTTGTTGACATTCAAAGTTACAGTTATTCACAGATTTCTCAAAAGTTTGTTTAATACAATTATTGTAAATTTCAGTGATCAAAGAGAACAAGAATATAAAAGCTTTAGTGAGGTATGACTTGTTGTTTATTGCCATTTCCCTAATTTATAGTAAAATTTATCCACTGCTCTGTCATTCTACATAGTTCCAACATCTGTGATCCTTTTGGCCAATGACTCAGATTGAGAGGGCTCTGGTTTTTTCGACTAGGGTGACACCCATGCAGGCACAATAGCTGCCTACTATTATTGAAACTATCATAAACTGTGATTATTTGAGTTTCACATTTTCTGACATGTTATACTGGTATTCAAAGTCCAGAACTCCGTAATGTGTTGACTTCCCATTTTGAATTTAATGCCCAGAGCTCTTGATTGGAGGTGTTTGCCCATAGGATGGCAGCTATAGAGACAAGAAAGATACTCTGTTTGTTGAAAAAAACAATAAGTAAATAAAATGGCAACACTGCTAGCATTGAGATATATCTTATTTGCACATCTTTTTGTCTCCACAGTTATACAACAGACATGCCTTGTACTTGGCTTCACAAGTTGGTTCGGGGTTTGATCCTATGGTAGGTTTAGCGAATCAGTTGTGGTATTAAGTCTTATCAAGTTTTAAACAAAACCAATCAGCAGGACCCCCTAGTAAATGGCATTATTACTTACCCGTACATATCCATCCCTTCCACCGCCCCCTCCCTCAAGTCCTTGAAAAATTCCTCTGTCAATCCACCAATCCACACATTCTAGGACCATGGTGTTATGACACAGTTACTATGAGAGACTCTTGAGTACTCTGACTCTCTTAATTTCTGTTTGTTCTCAGTATGAGGAGTATGAATGACTGTTCTCTGTACTGTTAGTAATAACTTTCAAATTTAAGGCAAGCATTGCTCTAAGATCTGATTGAGATTTATATTATTTTTTAATTGCTTGATTCATAATTAATCTTAAAGTTGTACTAAAATGTAATGTTTTGCATCCTTGATTTTAGCCAGAGCCTGGAGTTCTAAGGATGAATATATTTGGCGAAATTGGTGAATATTATCTTGATGTTGTTATGATCATGAACTGCACAATGCAGTTGTAGTTTTTTTAATGATCTGTTGCAGAAATATGTGCAGATTTTTGTGCCTCAAGTAACACTACACACAGCAAGATTGGTCTGATTGTTATGGTGGCTTGTAGGAACAAAACACTTCCCAGAATCCAAAACACTTCCCAGAATCCAAAACACGTCCCAGATTCCAAAAACACTTCCCAGAGTCCATAAACACTTCCCAGAATCCAAAACACGTGCCAAAAGCATATCCAAGAATCCAAAATATTTCTGTTATAGATTGTTTTGTATTTCATAGAGACAGGATGATGTTATCTTTTTACTGCGAGAATAATTATCTGGAGGATACTGTCTTCTTGGTGTAGCCACCACTAAGTGCAGTCTATTATAAAGTTGATTGTTATCTTTTAAGATAACATTAAGTTCTAGGAAGTACAGCTATCTGTCAGCTTTAAAGACTTGCACATTCAGAAAAACTCATTGAACTTAGTAATATTGTTTTTTTCTTCATAGTTTCTGCCAGAGGATTTGAATATGATGGTCTCTATGTTCATTTTTTCCTTGATCTGCCCTCAAGTAAGTCACCTATAATCTCATCTTGTGTAGTTAAATGCTTTATCACAGTGTTTGCAATATTACTTTAATTTAGTTGTTTACACATTGCTTTTTAGCGTGGAGATCTGTTGATGACCCAGTATTATCTGGAGTAACGCAAACTTGTGTCACAAAGCTGGAAGAAGAGGTATACAATTTTTTTTCTTTCTTTTTGGTATAATTTGAGCTCTGGAATCAACCATTTTCAAATACAGGATGAGTAACAGTTATTTTGTTTCAAATAGATTAGTAAATAAATACACAAACAAACTTTATACATGTACCCCTTGGCCTGTCATGAAGGCTAGTTGTTTTTGTGTTTTATGGCCCTGGACAAAATTGAAGTCATTAAAAATGCAAAAAAAAAAAAACATTAAAGCAAAACAAAACTACAACAATCAACAATCGCAAAACAAACAAACAAAAACACAGGGCCAATACCCTGCCATCTTGACGGAAGAAACTCGGTCAAAAAAGCATTTATTATGTATGTAGCCAAACCAAAATTTCTTCTTGTGAGATCAAAGCAGAATTTCTTTTAGTGGGCAAGATAGACATACACATCAATTGACAGGTTGGCTATTCACCACTTTAGAAATGAGAACCTGGAAACTGGGGCGAGTTAGCTTTCACAAAGACTCATGGGATTGTTACTGGGGACTCGCCAGTCAGCAGACAGCCTATTGGCCAATTTGTTTTCCCTGTCCCTAGTAACAGTGTAACAGTCCAGAAGTCTTTGCAAAAATTAACTCTACCTACAGGATTCCCATAGGCCTTGAAAAATAAGGACTCAAAAAAGTATCATGCCCTTGAAAATTGAAAAATTGTGGGATATCCTTGAAAAGTCCTTGAATTTTCCACAGAAGTTCTTGAATATTTGTGAAAGCTCCTTGTACAAAAAAAAAGTGTTAAAAAAAAGTGTTTTGGGCAAAAGGAAAGATTGAAAGCACAGCAGTAAGCAAATTTTCCTGGTGATCATGAAAGTGTGTTTTATGATTTCAATGTTCCCACCATAGTATATTTTCCGTTATTTGAAGTACCCTCATGGGAGAAGGTATTGCAATAATCTGTCTATGTCAAATTACGGGAAGAGAGGTCCTTGAAAAATTATTTTAGTCCTTGAAAAGTGCTGAAAAGTCCTTGATTTTTCCCCCAAAAGTCTGTATGAACCATATACCAAGCTTGCTTCCTGAATTCCCAAGTGCTAGTACCAAGGAGTTAAAGACAGTGAAAGGATGAACATCACCTGTTGGGAAATTTTGATTGACATTAGAAATAACTGATTTGTTGACCAATTCTAGGTGAATGTTGCCCATTTCTGTTACCCTTTTGAGTTTTCATTGGTTTACCAAGAAGATGACGAACCTGCTGGTAAGTTCTACTTCTCGAATACTATGATAGAGTTGCCAAAAGTGCAGCAGAATCACAGCAGTTATACTGTTGATAAGAACTTTTTTAAAAACCTGGATTCAGTTTTTGGAGCTTTAACTTGCAATTATTCCTTGTACTACTTAAAGTGCTGGACTTAAATCAGTACTTTCAATATCTGTGTATAAAACAGCAGGTATGCCAGCAACAATTTATTATGTTGATTTATTGCAGATGACTTTATTCACTGGCCCACTCTGTTTATTGAAGTATTATCACTGGACAGCTGGGAGAGATTCAGAACTGAAGGATACACATACCTTACCATACCCAGTAAAGCTGGTGAGCAGGGTGTTAGACTTACATGGTCACATGATGTGCCTTGCCAGACTTCTTAGTCACTTGTGAATTCTTATATTATCTTATCTGGGGATGTTACACAAAATTTAGTTAATAATTGAGGAACAATAGGGCAAAGGGGAATAGAGGTGAATCTTCTTGTGTCCTATTTAACCCCTCCCTACGTACTCTTTGCCCTCATTTCCAGCAACCTGCATTGAAGACCTTTGACCCTCCCCAGGCTTATAATAGCCTTAGAGAAATCTGTGGAAGAAGCAAGTCAGATGACCAGTATAACAAGACTAGTGTCAGTTATTAGTGAGACTGCAATACAGTGTAATTAAGATTCCCTTCAATCTTCCTACAGTAAGGATGGTTGTTAGACGACATAGTCACTCATTTTCTTCCTTCTGTCAATAGAATTGCGTGGATGGTTTCATTTCCTCTTGAATTTTCCAGGCTGGGATAACCTCTTTTAATTACAGTGGAACCACGTTAATAAGGTTACCAATTTGGCCTTATTAACGAGGGTTTTTTACGAGAAAATGTATGGCGGTTTTTGCTAGGCGGCCAAAAAAAGTGGCCGTAATAACGAGGTGACCGTATTACCGAGGTGGCCACAAGGCGAGGTTTCACTGTAGTTTGCCTATTTAATTCCTGTAAATTGCGTGCAAAGGATAGGTTAAAATAAAGTACACGTAATGATGTCAATTATAGTTTAACTTATTTTCTGACTGTAACATTAATGGTATTATCTTTTTATAATTATTTTTTCTCCATTCAGGTAGCTATACTCTTGAAGCTGATACTTGGAGACCAATCGGAAATGGTCCAATTCCTGAGATGAGAAGATTTTTTATTGGTGGTTCACCTGAACTAGAAGATCCTACATATCCACAAAAACCAGCTATGACTGATGTAAGTGAGATATTATACAGTGTTCTTTGTAAGGTATAAAGAAGTTACTTACTGTGAGTGGGAAGGAATAACTGCACTTTAGAAATCGTAAACTCATAACTCACTCTTAACTAAGGCTGTAACAATACATTGAACTATCGATTAGTCAGGGGCGGATCTAGGGGGAGGGTGCAGGGGGTGCGCACCCCCCCCCTATCCCTGAGATGACCTGCGGTTTTCTAATACAACTGGTATTCTGCAAAAAAATAAAAAAAAACTATGTGGTTTATTGGTGTTGAAGTAGAGCAAGAGACGAGTGCACCCCCTCCTAAAAAAAATCCCGGATCCGTCCCTGTTAGTCGTGATATTAATGCTGCGATAGCGATGGATCGATAGCAAAAATGAAACATCAATAACAATCGCGATAGTATTGCGAACTATTGATAGTTTCGATAGTTTTTATACTTCTAACATTTTAACTTCTTTGGAAAATAAGGAAACTCTTCCTTACCGTAAAAAAGAAACTAAAAACAATCTACCGTCCTGCTGCACCTAAAATGTTTTAGCGTCTTTATTCTTGAACTGCATAGTGCCTGTATAGTATGACTACCACTTCTCAGTTATTTCTTAAAGTATAAGGCATTAAGTAAAAACAGATATTCCTGAAGAGTATCGCAATACTATTGCAATAGTACCTCCACTACTCATATTGTGGGGAGAAAATTATGTTGGTCATTATTTTTTTGAGGTGGAAAAGGGAGGGGTATTGTTTGAAGCAGTTAGTCCCTGATTTAGATCACAAAATGTCTCACGAATCCATCTGATGTATGTTGATATCCCAGAAACTAGTGAATGGGGGAAAATCATTTGTTTGAGGATTCTCATGCTTTATAACTGATGGTCAAACAGCTCTTGTCTCAAAAAATCTCAAAATTATGGAAACTTATTATATAGTCATCTCCAAATCAGATGTGCAATAAATTACCTCTGCAGGTATTATTTCATGCCAAAGTTCAATATTATTGTGTTGAAAGAGTGTACAAATACTGGTGGTCAGGACTTGAAAAAAAGTCCTGTCCTGTAGTAACAAGTATATTTTCTTGCTAGGCAAGTAAATTGTAACGCTTACTTGCCCAGTGGGCAAAGGTCCAGGTACTCATCCTCTAATAAAACTATTAATTTAGACGAGTGAGAAGTGGCCCCGGGAAGCAAAAAATGTGAGAGCTGTTTGCCTAAAAGACGAGCTGGAATTCAAGTTTTATTTGAGCCGTAGGTAGTCTGTTAATTTTGTCCCTTTTATTGGTAGGACAAAGTTTTGAGCAAATATTTCTTCAGGACAGCTGCCTCTGGGAGTGTCACAGTTAAACTACATATTATGCAGCAATGCCAGTATGTATTACATATAGTCGATCAGAACTGAGAGGAATTAGTGTTATAAACCACTTTAAGAGATCAATTTAGACACGTCTTATTAAACAAGCGTTTTATTAGTGTACTTAATATTTCATTTTTACGGATGGAAGGTTAGTTTATTGCTACGGATGGGAGGTTAGTTTATTGCTGTTAGCTTATTTATACGTTTGCAACACGCATTTGAAAACGTCATTTGAAATATGAATATTATATGAATATTATCATAGGGATTATGTTTAAGGATATGGCTAATCTTATGTCTGAGTCTTTACTCTTCTGCGAAAAATGTTTTATATTCAAAATGTAGAGTTGTTTAGGAACATTGTAGGTTTGTTAATTTGTAGTGTCTTTTAATTGCTGCATTCTTTAAGTTAAGTCACAATCCCTGAAATTGCTAATTTTTGTTCAGTAACAATAATTTTATGAAAACTGTGGAAATGATCCTTGCAGTTGAATAAGGAACCTGCGCGATTGAAAAAGAACCTGAAAAAATTCAGGCTTTACCGGGAATATTAATGTTAATGTTCTAAACACTTAGAGAACCATATTACTTTCAGTTCAAAAAGTACTGGAATTAATTAGCAAACTTACGTCCATATTTATTTATGCCTTTCCTAGCCTTTTGTTCTTTATATTACTCAAGCTGAGTGTGTTTTCATCTTTTAATCTCTAAAGATCTTTTGTGGAGGTAACAAAGAAACCTCGCCGGACAAGAACTATATTGGACAGACTAGGGTAGGTCATCGTAACAGTTTGCTTCCCTCTTTTGTCCCTTTTTGTCCCCAAACTTCCAGAGCTGATGCCATATTTACCTGGATGTGTCACTTCAGTTTTTTGCCCGATCAACTTCTAACAAAGGTCTAACTCATGTGTTTCGCCGATTCTGAATCCCTACACGGGATTAGAACAATTTACATGTATTGTACATGCCTGATCTAACTGCTTTGAAGCCAAGAAAGTCAGCTTTTCTTTTAATTCTAATCATATCAACATCTCAAGAAAAAGCACTACTTTACAAGGATAAATAACCATATCAGTAACTCTAACAGTAAGAACAATAGGTATCTTAACGGGAGCTTAACCACAGCGACGGACACAACTACAACGTCAAAAAACAATTGGTTTTATGAGCAAAACAACAGCTCTGCATGTGCATCACGTTTTTTTGTACCTTTCTTTGCCGTCCATTGCACGACTACGACTTGAAACCTTCCAAAGTGACGTTTTATAAGGGACGTGAGAATACGATGACGATTTTTTCCTTTCTTCTTTAGCATGTGAACAGGCTCTCTGTTTGGGAAAAAAATAGCGACCAAAGGCCTGTTCACAGGCTATTCTTCTTTTGAACCTGGATAAAGTCCTTAATTAAGAATTAAACTCCAGGAAAAAATGGCCTACATTTGACTAATAGAGCTGAGCAGGTCCAAATAGACGCGACAGAATTTGAAAGGGACGCAAATTCTTATTTTTTATTTCATTGTCGTCATTGCTTAAGCTCCCTTCAGCAACCACAACGACGACGAAATAATGCCAATGTAAAAACAACGGATGTTTGGATTTTTCCTTTAAAGAAGCCGACAAAACTTGGTGCCTTCGGCCAAATTTTTTAAAGGTGCCAACAGAAAATGGACCCTTCGGATTTCATTTTTCAAAGGGCGCCGACAAAAATTTAAGGGTTCGGATTCCTGTCATCTTTAGGCGGGTTGCGGATAAAAAATGAAACGTTCCTAATTGTCTTTGTTTGTTTTTTCTTCAGAGGAATGAATGCCTTAGACTCTCTGGCGCAGGTCTTAGGTAGGTGATCATTTAACAGCAGGAGCTGATTTACAGCTTGTTGGTTCTAATCTGTAACTTACCATTTTTTCATTATTGGTTTCTCTTCACCAGATGCATTTCAGCGAGCCAAAAGAAGAATGTTGGCTGCAAGAGAGGGGCTTCCATCTATAAAGTGATGGTCAGATCAGGTGCTATAATCGGCTAGAAAACGTCGGGGTTAATGGTATTACCATGAAAATCACAACTCTAAACTGGTCTAAAAGATTGTCGCCTTTGGACTCTTCCGTCTACGTACTGTTGTATCTCTTCCGCCCATCATTGCTTCAGGAGTTGTAAGGGATTCCACACTTTTTCAGTGACATCTACAGTGTAAAGTTTTGTAAAAAAACACAGGACATATTTCATGCAGTCTATTCTGCCATATTTTTTACAGGTTTTTGAGCATCACCAAGGTTAAAATGTCCAGCGGGTTTTACTTCAAATAGATAGGCAATTTCAAAGAGAAATAGGTAATCAGAAATGTATGGTTTTATTCAGAAAAATCAAGCCTTTTTTCTCTGCCTTTTATTAGCATCCGTGCATGGGTACAAAATTACATCAGCGCATCTCGAAATTGTCCAGAACAGACACTTCAGTCCAGGTGCAATGCATTACAACTTGTCATACAAAAAATCTTCACACAAAAGCTGTATATTTCTGTATCATAGTGTAAAAGATGTGTCATAAATAACGATTTATAAAAAAGATATTTATCTTGATGTACATAATAATTTCTCTTTTTGTACTAACTATACGTGCAGAAACTCACAAGTCACGGTACAGAAGTTGCCCGCTTCAGAGTGTTCTTTACTTAGGGGAAAGAGGTGAGGAAATTGAGCAGGCAAAGTTGACGAAATACCATATAATAATTATTATTTTTAGTTAACTCCTCTCACAAATTTACTCTATAGCAGACTGAATCAAGAATAAATTTGTTTATTATAAGTCTATGAATCAATCAGTTAACTGAAAGTGCCATAAATATTATTTCCTCTATAAGCTAAGAATTATCCATTGAAGATTACATGATCTTCTCAGAGGCCCAGAAGCATGAATAATGTTTTAAAATTTTTAAGTTGATAAATTTCAAAATGGAATGCTTTCTGTGTACTGATATGTGATCAACAGTGGGGGAACAAAATAATGAAGTTGAAAGGTTTATTTCTTAACTTTCAAAAATAATGGCCTGGCAGCAACCTCTTTGTTTTGAGCCCGTGTACCCTCCTGTCGCATCAAAAAAGCAGGAATACCATCGTATTGTTTTTAAAACTATATCACCTACCCCCAAACCAGTCTGCTCACCCCCTTTTCCTAAATAAAGAACACTAAGTAGCCTCTCTGTTTTGTAAAAAATATGGTGTACTTGTACAGAAACTTATGGTTAAATCAATGAAGAATTAGTTTCCATGTCAGTAATTTCAGTAAAAAGGAGTACAGTCGAACCTCCGATAAGCGACCACGCAAAATGCAAAGACTTAGTGGTCGCTTACAATAATCGAACCACAGGGGGCTCTTCCGAGAAGAGGTCTGGGCACATCTACTTTACGGAAGATAATTTATTGCATGCAATTTCTAAGTTACACCATGTCACTAAAGTTCTTCGACATGTCGTATATTCTAAGTAGCTTAGTGCACACAGCGAACATGCGTCAAGCAGTCGCTTACAAGGGCTTAAAAAGAATGGAAAATCAATAACCTTTCACGCCCAAAAAGTGTTCGCGGTCGCGGGTCGCTTATAGGAGGTGGTCGTTTTGTAGAAGTTCCAACTGTAAGGCTTTGACTGGGAAAGCTTTGGGGTTTTGGATAGGCGGTCGCTTATGAGAGGTGGTCGCACACTGACGTTCGACTGTATTGTACCACAAAAGACATTTGTTCCTGATAACAAAATAATAATAGTAAATTATTTATGTTTTACTAAATAAATTTGATGTGCCTAATATGAATTAAATGCTGTTTGTTACGAGTTAGTTCTGTCAGTTAAGGACTCTAGCCAGTTAGTGAAACCGACTTGTTGTGCTCGATCACTTAATCTGGCGAGTGATTGTGCTAATCGTTCCCCACTTCTCTCTAGTGATGTCGGTATCTGTATAAAATAACAGGAAAAAAAAATCAAAATACCACTGGTATGATTCACTAAACAAGACATGATACACATTTCAATAATAATTAAAATACAGTCAACTCTCTCAACGGACACTTCTAGAAGACGGATGCCTCGTTGAAGTAAACCGGAGGCCTAGAGTTGGTCCCCTCCTTGCGGTGGTTAGCTCGAAAGCTAAGCTCCTCTGACCACCGTACACTTCTACCCAAGCCATTAATTTTCTTTTTTCTTCTTCCTCTTCTCCTTTATTAATGTATTCCTACCTTACTATATATAATGTAAATATTTTATAAAGTGTGAATGATAAAATTGAATTGAATTGAAAATCCTTTCTTTACCCCTTTTAGAGATGTTTTTAAAGGATAAACCAGTGAACAGCTCTTCTGCGAAATTCTTGAGTTGTGAAATTTTTTTATTGTCTCCTACGTGTTTCGTGTGACTAGTGCACACTTCATCAGGGAGTTTTACAATATAACTAAGGGTACCTGTATATATACCTAAAAACGAACTGAATTTTACATTGAACACAAACCACCTACGGATTTGCGTATAGCAACTGCAAACCTTGTGGTTGTACGTCTAGGAAACAAGCGGAGAGATATTTCACAAGGTGTGACATTTGTAATGTTTTGGGGCCCACAGTTTTAGCTAAAACTGCGGGACTTGTTCCACGCCCTAGCAATACCCACCTCAAATATTGAAGACATTTCATGCGGTATAGCTGCACTTGAGAAACTGGGAAGATTTACTTCATTGGCAGGTTGTTTTTGCAGAAGGGGATGAAGCTGTGTGATTTAAAAGCCAACAGAAACACAATGAATCTTTCTGTTGACTCAGTTAACCCCAACAGGCCTGGGGCCCGTTTCTCGAAAGTGCCGATAATTAACGGGCCCGGTAAGCTGTCTCTGTTTAAATTAAAGATCGAGGTTTCAATATTTTTGCATCTAGCATGATAAACCTATCAGTCAGTGAAACAAAATGGAGTAGTTTGCTAGCCAAGACCCGTGCTCTTATTCTTTATATTTCGATTTGAATATTTGATTTCAGGCCCGAAAAGTTACCGGGACTTTCAAGAAACGGGCCCCTGGTTTAATGACGCAGTGGGAAATTCCTGAGTTTTACGAACATTCAATTCATCGGCGTGGATATACACAGGGTTCATAAAAAAATTTTCAACCAGTTTTTAAGGACTCTTCATGGGCTTTTCAAGGAACACATTCGATTTTCAAGGACCACCTAACAGGAAACTTATTTTACAGATTGTACAAAAATTCATTTTCCCAGTACATTATAACATAATATAATAATATTTATTGATTTGTATTGCGCAAATATCAATCCAGGGAAAGAAATTTTCATCTGCGCATAACAATGACTCAACAAAATCCTAAAATCCCAGTACATATTCCAAAAACAAAATTTACAGATCGTTCCTAAAAATTAGTAAAAGTAACAATTTAAAAATAAAAATTAATCTTTAAAATCCTATATACAAATCCTTCTCAATAAAGAGAATAAAAANTGGACTTTTTAAGGACCACCTAACAGGAAACTTATTTCACAGATTGTACAAAAATTCACTTTCTCAGTACATTCTAACATGACTTTAAGGCTTGAACTGTTTGCTCCACCAACTTCTCTACATTTTTCAGTTCACTTGTCTTAAATTGATTGTTAATTATTGCATGAAGCAAAAAAGCACCTCTCTAAGTAACTTCTCTAAGCTTTGATTTATATTCTGTCTTGGACAACCAAAAAGCATTAAAAAACACTTTCCAGGCAACTACATTCAAAGTTGAAGAAGATCCAAGAACTTTTCAAGCAAGGACTTCCCCTAAAATTCAAGGGCTTTTCAAGGCTGTGCAAACCCTGTCTTCGCCAATTTCCCTGTGTTATGGAAACTGGTCACGTTTCTCAGAATAAATACAGTAAACTGCTGCTTATAATCCCCCCTCCCCGTTACAATCCATACACCTGTAAAAAACACCACCATCCAATCATAAGCCCCCCAACCCCTCCTTGGAGTTTGTTGTTTGAGAAAACAGTTGCTGTTTTTCCTAGATTCACCCCTGCATTCCTGTAGTTTGGTTGTTGATTTCTCTGTCTCAAATTCTATTAAAAGTTGTAGTTTTAATTTACAAAGGGAAGGAAAATAAAAAAAGAAAGAAAAAATTGTATTTACAGTGTTTGCAGGAATGGCATGTTTCTTTAAAGGGAATAGAAAAACTGTTTGTTTTATTCTTTTTTATAGCTCATTTTCACTTCACTCGTACATTTTTATTACACTATCAAGACATTAGAAAGTATTCTAATTTTTAAAATGCTAAGCAATAATATTTAGAACAGATTAAAGGACTAACCACACTGAAACTTGAAACGAAAAGAAGAAATCTCACCTGTTGTAAATCCTGCTCTTGATTAATGAAGCTTTCTAACATTTGTTCATCTTGCTCAAAAAGCCTTAAATGGAAAATATAGGTAAGTAGATATTATCATCCTTGCATTAAGTTAACAACACCTCGGAAATTTAAGATTGTACTCCTGCCCATATGTGGGAAGGGGAAAGGGGCTGAGACAACAGGGCAACCAACAATGGTCTCCTCCTAAATACATTGAAAACACTTTTTAAGCTATCAAGAGTACTTTTAGATCTCAAGAAATGCATTCTAAGTGGCATCATAAAATTTTTATCTGTTTGGTCATCTATGGCAAACTTGAGGTCCTTTAGAAATAATTTACAAGGCTTCAGTATTATTTTCCGGAAAGTTGTAGATGTAATTTTTCTAAAGCTTTATGAAGCCGAGCATTTTTTTGATTCCTCTCTCCATTACTTTTTCGAATGTGAAAATGCTAGGTTCCTTTTTCTACGAAAATATATAGCTTAACCTGGGGAGTGAAATGTAAAGAACTAAACTTCAGAAAATTGTAGTGAATTTATTAGATACGCATCAAAAATTGTCCATGAATGAATCGGTCATCTAGAAATTTTTAGCTGTCCTCAAGCAATAAAAAATTCTAGGTAATTTTTGCTTGAGCTTCGAACAGATATTTTACTGAAATAAGTCGTTGGGTGCCCCTAATTTATATTTAATTATTAAATATCCCTGATTTATACCTTGTTTGCTCTTCCAATTCTTTTTCCAAAGCTTCAATTTGTCGGTTAAAAGATATGACCGCATCTTCCAGTTCATGCTATGAAAAAGGAGAAGTGAACTCTGCTAAATGTCAAAAGGTCAAGCAAGGCAATTTTTTGAAGTCTATGTTCAATTAGCATTTTCTGCAGGCAGCTTCAGTAGATGAAAAAGAATTCACAGGAACAAGTACAGTTGAATCTGTGAGTGACAACCTAAACAACGAGGGCTTAGCCTACGTAGCTAGCAGTTTGCCATTTTTCTGGTATGATTTTTTTTTTGTGGATTCATAAAGGAAGGGATACTGCGCGAATTCTGTTTCGACCTCATTTAAGCATTTGCACCGCTCCAACTCTTACTTTGTGAACCACAAAAGAACACCAAAAAAGCCACCAGCTACACAGACTAATGAAGACTTCATGGCTGCTTGTCAAATGTGAGCTGAACACAGATGAGAATCAAACCACAAGGGATCTCTTTTGAGTAGAGCAAGAGATATACATCTACTTTTTAGAATAGAATTCAATGCATGCAATTTCTCAGTTTCAATTACAATAAACTGTAATTATTATTAGTGTGATAGTTCCATATTGTCACTAAATGTTCTTTGTACAGTCTGAGTAGCTTAGTTCATTCATCAAACATGGAGGTCAGACCAAGCTTAGTTTTGTACCCGTAAATGTTCTTGCAAAGTGATTGCTTGCCAACTATGGGGATTTGACTGGGAAAATGCTGGTGTTTTAGTTTGGTGTCAGTAACTTATGGGAGGTGGTTGCTTCAGCTTCACATAGAGTTTCGACTGTAGTAACACGGGAACCCTGTGGAAAATAGTATTGGCACAGGAGGCCCAATCCATCTAATATGAAACTTGAGGGAAAAGGGAACAAAAGATGCCTGTGAAAGGGACCAGGGTGCGATACAGTGGATTATAAAACTACGTAATGTGCCCTTAGGTTTCAGCTGGACAAGATTAATTTTGAAAAATCAGTGGCTGAAAATGAAGAAAGGATGGGACTTCATAAAGAAAATAATGCCAAAAAAAGCAAAAACAACAATCACAACAAACAAAAAACAAAATACAAAATTAAATGAAAAGACTTACAGATTCAGCTTCCATTTTACTGTAGTCTCCTTTCTGTGTTGGCCCCTTGACATGATCTAGTCTCTTGATAATTCTGGTTAAAAATTAAGTGATCAACTGACATTGTTTACATGTAAAGGCCTATCATTCTTGACTGGCAAGTTAGAGGGGACAGTTACCTTTTTGTTTGTCTAGGTGATTTTCTTAGTCATACTGTTAATAATTATTTGTAGTTGGTGATTCAAGTTTCATTGCTTTAGTTTGAGACTTAAGCAATCCTGGTTCAATTTTAATTTCCTTTTCTCTAGTGCTCATTACAGTGCACAAAAGTAACTAACAACAATAAAGTACCAGTAATCAAAAAAATCATTACGAATTGTCTCTGACTTGTCTCAAGTTTTACACCGATCTAGTTTTAAGAATCAATGAGGTATTAAGTACATGAATAAATGTGAGCAAGGGAGGCTAGAAAGAGGAAGAAGGGGAAACTTTTTGACTGCTTTCTCTCCCGCAGTTGCGTACAAAAAGTAATCATATAGAGGTGAGTGAAAAAAAAAAGAAAAAAAAAAGAGGTGACTGAGATACATGTGTCATTGTAATCAAGAGTCAAGGAGGAAAGGAGCAACTGGTGACCTTTCTTGATGACCAGAGTTCAATTCTTCAAGGCAGCTTGAACAACCAAACTTTTGTTGATTTCATTATTTTGTCTTAGGACATAAATAGTGACCTGACACAGGATGTATATATACATCCTTGATAGACAAGGAGTTAAAAGACCTCTGACTGGTGACTTCTCCACAAATAAAAATAAATAATTAATAATTACAAGGTTAGCTTTAAAGTTAGTAGAGATCACCTGTCAGATAACTGCTTCAAATGAACTTGTAAGTCGTTTTTCTTGGATTCTTTTCCAACACTATTTATAATGCTCCTGTCAATAACAACAAGTTGTTAAGACTTGGTAACATGACATTCTGTCAATGATAATGTAATCCCTACTTCATTCCCAGGGCCAAGGGGAGAGAGATCCTTCCCAAATGACATGGAATGTAAACCTTCATATTAAGAAACTGTCTTGTTATTAAGGCATTTAAGTTGATGTTGACCAATATAATAATACTTAAATTGTAAATTGTAAATTTATATCTTATTATCCACTCCCCACAGGGCTTTTCAGGGATAATTTACAACACTGGTTGGGGGACTTTGCCAGACTGCTTAAGGTGCAGTTTACAAGTACTGAAGGAATGAGTGACGATGCCCCCATACATGAGTGTGAAAGTGAGATAGACCACTACACTGGGCACTACGTGCCCTACTCTTTACAAAGAGTGTGTGGGTTCTTTAACGTCCCACAGATTTATTACATGTGCAAGGGCTTGTGAGACGGGGCCTACGGTTTATCGTCCTTATCCGAGAAGACTAGAAAGTCTAACCATTTGCAGATGTTATTACAAAGGCAGCACTTTCTCCTCAGTTATTTAAAGACCCTGAGTGGTTGTCCGGCCGGGGTTTGAACCTACGGCCTCCCGCTTAGCAACAGTGAACTATACAATGTTAGGGCATTCACTCTATTTGAGAACGGTACAGTATGTTCTTGCATCTATATGAGCTCCTGGCAGCTTTGTGTGATTTGTATGACTCAGTAACTAAAGAAAATTTACAATACTGCCCAGTTTTTGGCAAACTGGGACATTTTATTAACAATTTATTAATTAATTAGGTACTCAACGACCAATATTATTATTATTATTATTATTATTATTATTATTATTATTATTATTATTATTATTTTTAGTTCACTTACAAAATTGTGCTTTCTAGGACTTGCTTCGTGTATTTCTTCGTTGATGAGCTTAGTGGCTTCCACTTAGAATAAGCTTTCTTTGTAACAGTCATATCTCTAATACGTTGTGGGGCTTCATCAGCTTTTACAGTTTTGTTTCTTTTTGGATAAGTTCTCTTCAACTCTACTACCTTTTGTTCGCTGTGGGTATCTTCAGTTTCACCTTTAATTAAAATGAGGACAAACATTATTCTCAAGAATGGGTTCTTTCCAAGGCTTATTCAGTTAAACTTCAACATGCAGTAGGAGGCCTCACAAAAATGTCCCTCTATAGGCCATTTGAAAGAGTATGCCCTCCAACATGGCTGCCAATACAATTCATACTACTTTGTCGTAAAATCAAAGTGCCATAAAATATCTTCGTTAAATGTGTTTCCTTTCAAATTTCGGGTGTATGATAATTTTTATGCGCTCTGTCAATTTTTGGCATCAGCAAGATTCCAACTCATTGTTTAAAGGAAGCATTGGTCACGTGACACAAACACACAAAGCCAATATGGATATAAACACAAACCCAATATGGCCTGTCTAATATTATATCTTTTCCCTCATGATAACCACTTTGTAAACTGATCATGACATTTTTGCCGTTCATTAGGTGACAGTCACAACTTGCTGTGTGGGACTAATACTAATTTATTGAATTACACTGTAATTTATTTTTGTTGAGGATTTAACTGCTGTCTACAGGTATTATTGGAGCTTCTGTAATAGGGGGGTGTCTGCAAGGCAAGAGTTGACTGTAAAATCAAGCTTTATGATGGGTGAGGGGGTTGTTGGTGAGCAGGGTTCTCATTAAGTTTTAGAGGAGACAGCTAGGATGTTAGAGAAGGTGGCTTAGCAAATGAGTATTGCAGGCAATTTCAAGTTTTCATTCCCTATTTTACCCCTTCTCCCCAAAAAGTACAGTGCTCAAACCTCAAGGTGGCCATTATTTTAGCCGGTTTCCTGCACTTTATGAGAACCCTGGGTGAGGTAAAGGGGGGTCACCCTCAACAGTGCCTGATAAAACTCAGCCTGCTAGAGCAGACACCTTGTTTTTTTCAACAGGCCTGACACTTTTCAAGAGTAGATGATCTAGAGTCTACCCTCCCAGGGTAGATAAAACTAAAATGGATGACTCTGTCTAAAAATTATCAACCATATTACGTAATTGATGGTTAGAGTTTTATACGTTTAAAGACAAAAGATTCTGTACCTTCAGCTTGTTCTGATGTTGAGCACTCATGTGGAGATGACCCTTTATCAGTGGCAGAACCATTTCTTTTTTTCCTCTGCTGACCAAGTAACAAAAAAATATTTAATGTACTAAAAAAAAAAAGAACTTTATTATCAAGAAAAAAGAACAGATATTTTGAGACAGTACTAAAGTGAAGGCAATAAAAAACATAGTATTCTTTTTTCCCTCCTTTTCCTCTTTAAGGATCAGTTTGTTACCTAATAATCAATTTATTTCAGTTTAAGATATGCTCTGGGTCTCACTCCAGAGACCCAGGTCCAGCATTTCTAAAGTTTGCAGTATATTTCTGAGTCTTTACAGCCAGCTACCACTGCTGCTCCCACTGACATTTTGCAATGATTTGTTTCTGTGATCACAATGATAGATCCCCTGAAAACAGTACTGGTAACTCAAACTTTTTTTTAGTTACTGTGTTCCATTTTGAAAACAAACAAGTGGGTTTTGTCCCTGTGACTACTGAACGTGCAGCGAAAACTGATGGCTTCAAAAGTCAGGAGTGGTGTGAAGAACAGAAAACGATACCAGGCTAATGAAAATTTACAAACTGTTCTGTCATGTATATGTTGTGGTTCAATTTTACCCGTGGTTTAATTTTATTTTCCTTTGTTTTAAACTTATTATTATACATTACCATACCCAAAAACAATAAGAGAAAAAAATTCAAACCAGGGATAACACTGAACCACCACAACATACGATACTGTAATACCTGTACAACGCTTGATTGTCAAATTAGAGAGTGGCTAAGTGAAGCACTTTTGATGTGTCCGAATATCGCGAAAAGAAAGCCTCAGTTTAAATGTTTGATCTGACACTGTACCTTTGAGTTTGAATATTGTTGACTGTTTTCGACATTCGAGCTCAAATTTGAAGCAGCAGCCTCGGCAGCTTCATTATTTGCACCGGGCCGTTTATTCCTTCTCGAAGTTTCTTTCGTGTCTTGTTCATAAGATGAAGCTGACTGACTTCTATCAGTTCCACTGCTTCTACGTCGTGACTTGGGAGCATAAACAATTTTACTTCTTCTCTTTGCCATTTTCAGATCTCTATCACTTGCGGCCCGCCATCTTTCAAATCTGCCAAACCGGATGGGCTGCCTGTGGTAAAGTGTTTCTAAGCAGGGTAGGGTAATATTCGAGTTTGAAATAATTGAATTAAAGAAATATGTGTATCCAAAAAACGCATCCACAAATCATACTTGAAGTACGAAGTTTTTATTTCTGTCTACTTCAATAAAAATTTATTCACCAAAGTTTTCCGGAAAGGGAAAACACAATCAAACAAAAGTAACTTTCAGCCTCGTGACTCCCGTCCCTCGGAATTTTTTTCTGTAACGTTACCATAATGCACTTTTTCCGCGGCGTTCATGTGGATTGGCAGGGCAAAATGAGTTGGTTTTGTTCCCTTATTTCTCGCTCTTTTACTCAAACAGCTTCCCAGCTACCAGGAGTATCATATTTTCTGGGAAGGCCATTTCCCGTCTTTCAGCAACCGTGCCGCTATGTGAGGTTTGGAATGGAATACCAACCAAACAACCTTCAGCGAAAACGCAAGCATGGTTTCTTGGCCAGACTGCGAACTCGAGCGGGGAGAAAGATTCTAGAGCGGCGGAAAAAGAAGGGAAGGAAGTTTCTGTCGCATTAACGAACGTGGTACTGTTTAAGGCGGAATGAAGAGAATTCTCTATTGTGCAGGTAAAAGAACAAGCCGAAACACAACTAGTTAATGTAGAGTTACTCAAGCGTGGAAATGAATTAGCTTATCAAAACTTGGAAGACAGGGGACATCATATCACGATTCTTGCGGATATTTTTTGCGTGTCAAAATCATGATGATGCCCCTAGGAACGATGTTGTCATGTCATTTGAGAATCACAATGGACCTCAGACATCATCATCATCATCATCATTATCATCATCCTTGTCGTCATCATCTGATCATCATAATTGTGATGATAAGCTTATTTATAAATCACACGAACTGTACTAACTGGCTAAAATGATGGACAAAGCATATTGTTTGTCTCTTGGAGGAATAAACTTCAACACAAATTGATATCAACTACGGATATCAGTCACTGGGATTTAGAAAACCGTGTGTTCAGAATTGTGCTTCTTATTGTCAGCTTTATGAGAGTACAAACTGTCAGCAACATTTTTTTTTGAAATCAGAAAGACAAATTCCAAGTTAAGCTTATGTAAAACAGAGTGCTCAAGCAGAGGTTGTAGTTTAAAGAAGAGGCCTTGGAAACTAACTGGTGTAGTTGCCTCATTGGTACTAATTTTTGTCGCCAGTTAATTTTGCAATTATGGACGAGGTATGTTCGCAATAAAAAGTTGTGTGAAAGGGAACATATTTTGGCAAAATTGAGGGTCACATGATAGTCCCTCTTTCCTTTTTCATTACAATATCTTCACATGGCATCAGGGGAATTTTTGACCAGCTGAAAAATTTGACCAAACACTTTGTTTGCATGGAACTGTCTAATATCTTCACTCTGTTCTCACAGAACTGATGAACCAGGTTGAATTTTAACTTTTGTTTGAGGTTTTACCATCTGTCCATGTGTAGAGTGCTACTTTGGCAAATCCAAAATGGTGTCTCCTAGCTGAGTTACCACGCATCCATCCCACCATGCCTTTGCCATGTAAAAATTGAGATGATTATGGTGTTCACATTGTTGTGTCAATTTTGCAATATCGGCTAAAATTTTGACCTCATCAACCAGTCGAAAAATCATCTGGTGCAGTGTCAACATTAGCAATGGCAATATTGGACTGCTTTGAACAATAACAACAACAAATCTAACAAAATGATTGTTTTTGATAAAATTTAATGTCTAATCCCCTTTCTAGTCCAGAACTCAACTGTATGTCTCTTCTTATTAGAAAGCATTTAGTGTTGATATCTGAATAGCACTTTCAGTGTCTTTAAAACAAATCGTGAAGTTAAAAACAAAATTTTGTGCAAATGCATTGAATTTCATTTGCTATTTTTTTGTTGTAACATTTTTTGTAGGACTTAAATTTCCCAAAAAAATAGTGAAAATTAATTCCCATGAAAATTAAGTACCAGTGAGGTATAATTCCTAAGCAGGATTAGCAATTACCACAGATGTAAATTATACATGTAGTTATCCTTTCAATTATATTTTTTCTGAAGGTTTGTTAATTTTTTGAGGAGAATAAACCATCAATGGAGTTTAGAGATCTTAATGCAGACCCAGTAAAACTTATTGCAAAAGGCTGTGAATAGAAAACCACTGAGCAGAAATAGATAACCATTCACTTTTTTCTTTGGTGAGATTATCATTGCTGC